TTTTTTATTTCGAGTTAAAACGAGCCGAACACGAGCGAACAAAGTGTTGTTAGCGTTCGGCTAGTTTATAATTCGAGCTTTAAAAACTTGTTCGTTTTCGGTTCGTTTACTTAACGAAGGAGCCGAACACGAGCTACTTAACAAGTCGAACACTAGCTATGTGCGAACGACGAGCTTTTTTGACAGTTCTAGGTTTGATATTTGAGTCCCAATCACCGTAATCTTTAATTTTCAAAAACTACAAAAAAACAAATATGTCAAAAGTAAGCACTCATAAACACACAGATCCAGGGCAGAACTAACCTTTTTTATATTTTTTAGGGGAAGCAAACTAACCGCTAGACCCAACTTAGAAGTAGAAGCTATGCCAACAAAGAACAAAATGATATTTCAGGAGTGCAAAAGTGATATTTCAACAAGACAAAAGACCAAAATGCCCTTCATATATCATGACTTTTAATTAAATAAATTTGAAGATATAATAATCACATTACAAAAAAATATATAAAAAAATTATAAGTTGCCCCGTGGTTGCTCATCTTCACCCGTTGACCTCGTGGAAAAATCAGTAACCGATGCAGCAGCGACCGTGAAAGTCTCAATGATTTCCACTAAACAACAACTGCGCGGACTTGTTTTATTATTCTTTATAATTATAACTTCCAAAAATAAGCAAAGAAGAAAAACGACTCATGCATCCTACACTTAAATGTTTTCTATTTACAATATAAATATATATTTTTTTAATTTTATAGTATGACAATTTGTTAAAACCCATCAGAAGTGTCACCCAAGACGTTAGATAAAATTTATCAAATTCGATAAATTCAGACCTATCTAATGGAGTTGGAGATGAGAAGAGATTGCGAGTGATGGCGGGATAAATCCGTCTCACAATTGGATTTAAGAAATCCGGATCTACAGCTCAAAAGTGACGAAATGAGAGAAGAATACGATGAAATGAGGGAAAATTGGATCTTCGGGAGTGTTGGATTTATTTATTTGTTTGGCTCGATTTAAGCTAAATTCGTGATTAAATTAAAGTTGATATGATTGACTAAACTAAATATAAGAAACAATCAACAAATAATTTCTTATCATACCAAAATTTAGGTTAGATTATCTCAACTAAAGTTTGATTGAATTGAATTTTTTAATCTTTAAATTTATTTTAAGATTATCATACATTTCAAAGCATATAATCAAAAATAAATTTATTTTATGATCTTTAAATTTGATTTATACAAATATAAAATGTAAAAATTAGGTGTTAGATATGTAAATACAGAAGATTGGGTGGTGAGTATGTAAATGCCACTAAATTTTTAATATAAAATACATGAATGTGATTTAATATATTATGTGGATTATTCTAGTTCTAAGATAGGTGCTGCTCGGCTTATCCCATAAATAAAAAAATTAAACAAATTTATTAAAAAAAACCTTCAGATTTTCTGCAGATTATGTGCTAAAAAGGGCCCAAAATTTTCAATATAATTAATATCATTTTTTGGAGCAATAAACACTAGAAAGTACTTTAATTATTAGCCAAAAAAATATATATTGCACATAAATACATTAGTTTCTGTCAGTTTTATAAGTTAAAAATATTACATGGTACTATGAAATCTGTGTTTTTCCGCCCGTTCTGGCTAGACGTGGTGACAGTTTTCTAGTTGCAGTCTAACTTTGTCAAATATAAAAAAATATTGTAATAGCCACCACAGTTTTTTGAACATTAGATTATTTTTCAACTGCTTTTTAATAAGTTCTTGCTGCCCCAACTGGACCCATTATTAAACACGTTTGGATGAAATTTGAAAAAAAAATATGAATCATATATCATTTAATTGAGGGTAATTTACATACATACCATATAATTAGTAATTCCTATGCATTTATAAATCCAGCACCTAAAGTCTGATATTTACATTTATAACACCAATAAATTAAAAACTTATGCATGTGAAGGTGTATTTCGATTTAAGAAAATAGTGATAGTGGTAATTTTAATGAGGTGTCAAAATCATTTACTGTTATGTATGTGAATACGAAAGTATAGGGGTCAGATATGTAAATAGTTAAGAGTTATAGGGTCTGCATGTAAATGCCTTTTAAGATAATTATTGATTATAGTAGTGAGCCATTACAGACCTCATACTAGCAACTTGCAAGCACTTGCAAGCACTCTCCACTTCAGTCGTTCTATATATTATAATATGCATAAATCTTATCACATTCATTTCTATCATACAAATTGTACATCTCTCATTAGTAACAAAATAAAATAAAAAATAATTTTTTGAAAAAAAAATAACTGAAAATTATCGTCTTCTGCAAAATTTAGAAGGTAGATATGTAAATATATAGAAATTAAGTGGTATGTATATACATCATCCATTAAAAGCGCTCTTTCATTTCTTTATAAATATGTATATTATTAATTTTGTTTCTTCTCTTTAATTTAAAGTAAACCATTTTACCATTCAATATTCAAAATTTTCATTTAATTTAAAAGTTTTTTTTAACCTAAATCTTATATTCCTACTTTTTTTTTTGGTAATCAATAATTCAACATTTGTCACATCCATTTGGAATTGATATAATTGCATAGAAAATAATATCCCTGATGTACAAGTCCTCGAAGGGCACTTAATCTTGAAATGAATTAAGATGACTTTCGGTAAATCATATGTTTAACGTGTATTACATTGAAGCATCCCAAATTTAAAATTGGTCCAACACATTGGCTGATGAATGTGTTAACAGGACTTACGAGCTTGAGACCTGCCGACTCCAGCGAGGTGCCGTACGGGGCGCGACAGAGCCAGGACTCGTTACTTCAACTTGAGCGAGCGGAAAGGCAGTGCCCATGAGCAATTTATATGCAATTAGGAATTTAAGCTCTTGTTTCACAAAGAACACTATCTCAAGCTTGCGGTGAACTTTCGAAGGTCTTTTGGAGCGGTGAAGTTTGCGAGGTGGATTTCGGTGCGTGTGATTTTTCTTGTGCAATTAAGAGAAAAATTTGGAGTGAAATTACTGTATGTTCCAGAGAGGTACATAGATGATTTAAATGTTGTAATTTGTTGTAGATTTGTCCTCTCATTGTGAATTTTTATGTTGTGATGAAGGCCCATGATTTTTTCACATTAAAAATAGATGTGGAAGGACAAATTCACAAATGTCTCTACACGTGAAATCTAAGGTGATAAAACCATGCACCTGTGATGAGGCCCCATGATTTGTTGCTAGTTTCTGCTCGATATTTTGTTCTAGATTTGTTGAATCAATGCTCTTCTTTTTGTTCTTGGTATTGTTTTTATTCTAAATATATTGTAGCCCAAATTTTCATCTCAACAAGTGATATCGGAGTGAGGATTTTTTTTTCTAAAGCCTTTTAGTGGGAGCAATGTCCGCCGATACAAGGTACAAGTGGAGAAGTTCAATGAATCAAATTTTACATTCTAAAAAATGCAAGTGAAAGATTTGTTGTATCGAAAGAAATTGTATCTGTTGATATATAGAATCACAAAAAAAAACATGAATTGATGACTCTGTAGAAATTGGACGTGTCAGATTGACATCCCTAGGTTTGATGTCTTTCACTTTTCGCATATGTTGTTTTAACAACATAGTGTATGAGAAAATTATTGTGAATTTCATGACGTAATTGACAAAGATCTATGAGAAACCTTCAACATTAAAAAAGTTTTTTTTTTAAAAAAAAAAGATATTTAACATGAAAATGTTGGAAGGTAGTTCAATAGCAGAACACCTGAATAATTTTAGCACTGTGACAAATCAGTTATGCTCTGTGAGATTCAAGTTTGATAATGATGTCAGGGCAGTATAATTCTAGCTTCATCGTCAGATGACTGTGATGGATTGGTCATGGTGGTGAGTAACTCTTTGGGTAATATAAAGTTAAAACTTTGAGGGTTAGTGTTGAATGAAGAAGTGCACTTGAATATAGTCAGCAGTGAATCTTTAACTTGTGCGTTAAATATTATGAACAGAGGAAGAAAATCAGACAGGAATACAAACAGAGACAAATCCAATTTCAGAAGAAGAACTTCCAAGTAAAAAAAAAAAAGAAAGAAAGAAAAAGAAATATAAGAGGTGAATATTGGAATTACAGGAAAAAATGTCATTTCAAGAAGAACTAAAAGGATCTAAGAAAGACTGGTGGTGTATGCCAAGGTAGGAATTTCTCTACAAATGTCTCCATATACGAAATCTAAGGTGACTCTGGTTTTATCCCTCGTCAGTATTGAATCTTGGATGGTAGATTCAGGTGCATGCCCCAACACATTCTGCTCTTAGATGCGCCTTGCTGATATCTCTATACACAACATAATGTCATCAAGCTAGGAGTCATTCAATATTTTAAATGACTTCTAATGTTTTTCAAATCAATTCTCAATCAACAATCTGGTGAACCCACTACAAGCTCTCATGATAAATCAATCAACCCAAGTAAGGTAGATATAAATGTACAAAAATGTGCCCTTTATATTTGCATCATTTCACTGAATTATAAAAGGATATAAGCTTAATAGATATTCTTCAAGTTTTCATCAACTTCCAATTGGGAAAAGTGAATCGTTCAATACATCAGATTAGCATACTTCATAAGAAAAGAATACCAACATATGCAATATTTAAGCCCAATCAGAGACAAGCACATCTCTCCATAACATAATAAAATATGATGTGATTGCTTCTACCTAAAGTATCGAACAATGGCTTCATTACATAACATTTTTTTCTTAAATTTTGTGAAACAATTTCTTACAGAATAAATCCAAAAAGAAAGAAGATCCAGATTTTCATGTTTGGTGGACCCAGGAAAACAAAATCTTCAATTCTTCACCCAAATTCTTCATTTTGATTGCCAAAGTCATATGTCAGCATAGCCATTTTCCCAACTGGCTCAACTCCTTTATATTTGGTAGAGAAGTAGTTGAACTCTACAATATCTACCATTTCCTCATTGCTCCATCTGAACTCTTCATAACCTTCTTCCTTCCATCCTTTCTCATCTAAACTGCCCATGAATAAAAAAAAAAAATCAAAACTTTAGCTCACCAAAACTACAAACACCATGACAATTGAACTCAACTAGCAGAAGAATAGTGACTGAAACCTGCACAGCTCTCGCACCAAACCTTTCAGCCATGCCAGGAAGCTCATGGAAATCTCTTCTCACGAGCTGTTGTAGAAGCTCAAGCAATGACCAGCAAGAAAAGCTTGCCTCAAAGCAACGACCCCTTCAATGGCTCTCTTTCTCCGATCTAAGCCGCTCGCCGGACTCACTTTCTCCCAGCGACCTCTCCATCTCTCTTGCAGGCTCAAAACTCTTAATTTTCACCCTCTCAGAGCTTCAAATGGTGACAGGAGGATTCTCCAGCAATAACTTCCTCGGAGAAGGTGGCTTTGGGCCGGTGTACAAAGGGTTCGTTGACGAGAAGGTGAGGCCTGGAATCGAAGCTCAGGCTGTCGCTGTGAAGTTGCTTGATCCCAATGGCACACAGGGCCACAGGGAGTGGCTGGTGAGTCATCTCCTTTGGTTTCAGCTTATGAGCATTTTGAAGCTTTGATATTGAGTAATGATAATATGGTTCTGTAGGCTGAAGTCATCTTGCTGGGACAATTGAGTCATCCGCATCTGGTTAGGTTAATTGGTTATTGTTATGAGAATGAACACAGGCTTCTGGTTTATGAGTTCATGCCAAAAGGAAGCTTGGAGAACCATTTGTTCAAGAGTATGCATATTTTTCTTACTTTTCTGAAAGTTTTTTTTATAAATATAAATAATTTGTTGTCCTAAGGGTTTATATGTTGTAATAAGATAGAAGGGGCCTTTGAAATATGTGCTTCATTTTTCCTGATTTTGACTCCAATTTGGATTCATAAATGGGAAAAAAACAAAGAAATTTATCCACTTTAATAGGAAATTTCTCAATGTTTTATGGAAATATTAAGGGGCTGTTTGGTTGCACTGAAGATTTAAGTTAAATATGATTTAGTAAATCTTGTAAATCCGGATTTATCAAAATCAAGTCTGTTAAATCCACAAAGATGTTTTGTATGATTCAAGTTAAATCCAATTAAATTCCCTCATAATGTTTGGCAATCGCCACCTCCTCTTATGTGAGGAAAGAAGCCTTCCTCCTTAAATCCGTAAAATCAAAGGATCTCCTCCTCCTTAAATCTATTAAATCCACTTGTTCATTAAAAAAACCAATATTTACATTATGAAGGAGAAATAATGGATTATCCAAGGTTTGGATTTAACTCGCTATCTTTTGTGATTGGCAGGATTTAAGTTAAATCTTAACACAAATCCTATTAGAAGTGTGCTACCAAACACTCTAAGGAAGATTCTGCCTCTATAGCAAAACCAATATAACATTTTGAATGTAATTCTTCTAGCAAAACTTTGATTTCATGAAAACTGAAACTTTGGTGCTCATGATTACAGGACACTTCACCTCCTTGCCATGGCTAACAAGGTTGAAGATAGCAGTGGGAGCTGCCAAGGGACTGGCCTTTCTCCATGAAACTGATAAGCCAGTCATATACCGTGATTTCAAAGCCTCTAACATCTTGTTGGATTCGGTAACTCTCCTTTTCTGAATGGAGTTTATCTAGTACCTTCTAGACTTCTGAGAAAATAGTTATAATACTCGAGAAAATATTAGGTGCGTGAAACACAATTTAAGATAAATAATATTAAGATATTGGTGTCTCTCCCCGCACTCTCTAGCTATAATTTGTTGTCAGTATGTTGGTTGCATGCAGCTAATATTTTCTCCTGATACTCATAAAAATTGTTCTTATAACAAGTACAAAATTAAATTTACAGATAATTACAAGCTATTTGCAAGCTCTAGCGAAAGAGATAATTATTGGTATAATCCAGTAATTAGCCGGATAAAGATTGAATTATTAGATCAACTTTATCGTGAAAAGAAACCTTAAACAATACGAATAATTTGGTCAAGGAAGAACGTTTTGGGATTACTGATGAGAAATACACCTGATCTACTGAAATGTTTAGCACATTAATTATAAATAAGAAATAGAATGAAGGATTGTAAGATTAGAAGTTGATCAATTATACTCCATAAAATTAATTAAAAGTAGGTGAGCAGCTTCGATCCAATCAATCACTGTTTGATAGATATTTGAGAGTGGCTGAGAGGAGGGCTTGGATCAATGTCAGTAAAGTTCAGGATTTTGGTAGAATTTAAAAAGTGCTTTGTTACTTGTTAATAATTTATTATGAAATTTTTGTCTTTCATGAGAAAATTCTATAGCAACTTGGTGGAAATATTTTGTACTCATAAGAAAAAATAAAAATTAAAAAAAGAAAATTAATAGCTATCAATAGAGTTGTAAACAAGCAGAGTATGAGCATGCTCAGACTTGACTTGTGTTCGACTCGTTCAAAATTTATCACCAAACTGCTCGTGAATAGTGTGTTCGTGTTCGACTCGATTGACATATTCTTTTTCGAGTTTGGCTCATGTAATGCTCGAAAGTAGCACGTTTAAATTAATTAGAAAAAAATTGTTGAATATAGATCTGTCCTTTGGATTATGCCCAAGGGATAGAGTGTGGAACCCAAGAGATTGAGAAAGAGAGAGAGAGAGAGAAAGAGAGAGACTAAAGAAAATAGGAAGATTTGTACCGTCGGGGCAAACCTAGACAAAACGAGCCGGACATGAATTAACAAATTTTTGCTCGTGTTCGACTCGTTTATATAATGAGCACAAAAAAAAGGTTTTTTGTTCAACTCGTTAACTTAGCGAACAAATCAAAGATGAGCTTTTTAACTAGTCAAACACGAGTTGTTCGTGAACAACGAGCCGTTTTGACAGCCCTATTGATGAGTATGATGTCATTTTCAAGCTATACATAGATGTAGTGTGTTGAATTAGAATATGCACCATTTCTATGCAATAAAATACATAGGACCAGATGACTATAGATGACTTAGACACAAATGTATTAGTTTCATATTTCAAGCTAAAATGAGCCCCCAACATGATACAACAAGGGGTTGTTCAAGTTTACCTCGTATATAATTTTAGCTTTAAAATTTTGCAGCTCAAAAAATTTGTTTGTGTTTGACTCATTTACTTAACGAACGATTCAAACAAGAGTTATTCATGAGTAAGACAACCCTAACTACCAAATGATTCATCTCAAGAAAACTAACCCATCAATGACAATAAATTAATTCTTGTTGTGATTGTGAGTTTTTATTATTAGAACTTTGATCTTGATTGAGCATGACACCTAACTCTTTAGAAAGACAATCTCTTTGTTAAAAGTAAGGATTATTTATGGAATTACTTTTCTTAATCTTTCTGAATTAGTTCTATCAATATATATTTTTTTAATATTTTTATTATTATTTACTTTTCAATGCTTCTTTCAATGACTTTCTTTGCCAAAATGGACCCTACTAAAAGTTAAGAAGCGCAAATGTTTTTGTGTGCCTCAGGACTTTACACCAAAGCTTTCAGACTTCGGCCTTGCAAAGGATGGACCTGATGGAGACAACACACACGTCTCAACTAGAATTATGGGTACTGAGGGCTATGCTGCACCAGAGTACATCATGACCGGTATGAATCAAATAATGTTGAGGACTTAATGATAAAATTGTCTATAAAAATTACGCTCTTAAGAAATATAAAAACTTATTAATGGTTCTTCTGAGATAGCCACAAAAAAATGATGTACATTCTCATATATATATATATATATATATATTATTTCAAGTAATAAATTTGATAAATCTTTATTATAGTCAATGAACTCTACAAGGTTTTGTTATATGAAATTATTGCTTATTATACATAATTTTTAAGAAACATTAACTAGATCTCAAACACAGCATCCAATGCTTACATACTTACATATCTAAAATTTAAAATTTAATATTTACATAAATACCACTTCGGTGGTTTAAATTTATGCATGAAAATGCATATTTTACTTTTTAAAAATAGCAATAGAACTAGTTTTTTATGTGATATTAATGATATGAGTGTTATTTGTGTATATATAAAAAATTTGGGCGGGGGATAAGTAAACATATAAGAATTGTATGGAAAAATTATTGTATCAGGAGTCCTAATGCAGTTTTGCATCAAGACCTGCCACGTGTACAGACAGACCCACCTTAATAAAAAACTAATTTAATATATAAGTGGGTCTGTTTGTACACGTGACATGCATTGATTGAAGTCGATGCAATAATTTTTTGAATTGTATGATATGCATATAAATGCCTAAAGTAAAATTATGAGAATATTGCTCCCCAACGGAACTTAAATCTCCTCGTTCAATATTTGTAGAAGTAGCTTTAGAATTGTTATGCAAAAGAACAGATTGTGTTAAGAACCATTTTTCTTTTGAAAAAGTGAGCCATCAAATTTTCTTATAATTATCTTATTTTAACAAATCTGAGAAGAAAAAGTTATAACACGTAAGAATAAGTTGCCCCCAAACTCCTAAATTCAATCAAGCATGTGGTTTTACTGACACATAAATCGAGTAAAGAAATAAAAGCGACAATTTTTACTTTTTTTTTTTTTTAATTTTTAGAATAGTAATTAATTGTAAAGCTTGTGATAAGAATCTTCAATGTGCAGCGGATCCTTATAATCTAAAATTGCTATTCAATTTCTATAAATTTACATGTCTGGCCGTATCAAAATTTTATTTTTTACATTTATACCATCAAAATCTTTCATATCATATCAAAAAAATATTACTTTTTAACTTTTAGAAAATGTGATATATATTTTCATGCATAAAAAATAAGGAATGTGTAAAAATCTAAATTTTGGTATTGGAAAAGTAAATGCATAAGATTTGAGCGGCATATATGTAAAACTTCATGATAATTCTTTAGAAAATTGACACACATATACAAAGCACCTTGTTCATTTAAATCTACGTGTAAAAATACATATTTTACTCTAAAAAATAATAATTGTGCTATATTGATGAAATATTAAAGATTTAGGTCCTATGTGTGTGATTATGAAGATTTTTATAAGCGATGTATATATACATTAGAGTTGTGTACTGTGCATAACCGCAAATGTCCCCAAGATCAGGAAAAATATTAAGTGTGGAGTCTGGAAGCAAAGCTGTGTCCGGACAACGGATGTGATATAACATGACAGTATGAGAACTCGGATCTCTGTTATATCATGTCGGTTGTCCGGATGTCCTGAGTTAATATTTTTTCCAAAAATCATTCCTTTAACGACCTCATCATGATTCATTTTTCAGGCCATCTCACCACCAAAAGCGACGTCTACAGCTACGGCGTCGTACTTCTTGAACTTCTAACTGGGAGAAGATCAGTTGACAAAACTCGTCCGAGCAGAGAACAGAACCTTGTGGAATGGGCTCGGCCTTGCCTGAACGATACAAGAAGGCTACTGCGGATCATGGACGCCAGCCTCGAACAACAGTACTCCCACAAGGCTGTTCAGAAGGCAGCACTGGTGGCCTACCAGTGCCTGAGCCAAACTCCCAAATCAAGACCTCAGATGTTAGAAATTGTTGAGATTCTGGAGCCTCTTTTGGCTTTAGATGACGGAATGATTGGAACCTTTGTGTTCTCTGTGGAAACCGAGGCTGTTGGAGAAGAAGAGGAGAAGAAAAAAGATGGTGGGAGTTTTAGCAAGGGACATAGGCGCAAGATGAGGTCGGGGAAGTCAGGAAGGCGTAGTGAAGTTTTGATTTGTAGAAGTTCTCCTGTGAATGATGGCAGGAAGGGTGTTGGAGCAATGGTGGTTAATATGGAGTGTGAAGAGATAACTTCTTTAGAATAGAAATTAGAATCTCTCCGGTGAATCATAGATGATGATTACCTTCAACATTCTTCTCAAACGCAGATGGTTGCAATTACTGTGTAAGTTTTAGGAGGCGATATATATCTTCTTATTTTGCATGAAAACAATCAAGATATAGTTGTAAATACTTCTTTTGTTAATTAAATAAGAAAAGATTGTTGTAAGACAAATCTTATTTTGCTTTTAGTGCGGCAAAGTGTAAGATATTGGTCAGTGCTTCTTGAATATATGTGATCTCGTTCTCAAATTGGAATACTAGGATGAACAAGTAATCTAACTTCGAAAAATGTACTCTAGTTATATAAGTTGAGTTAACACAGATCAAGTCAATTAATTTGAGTTGATTCTCGTAAGTTATCGTTCAAGCTTTGTTCCTAAAATACTTGCTTAGAATTGATACGATGGGTTGGTTTTTAGATTCTATGATTTAGTTATTGATAATTGAACTAAACCAAAAACTAAACATTGTTTTAAAAATTTATTTTTTTTATATAATTTAATGGAAGACTCAAATATTTGAATATAACCTTAACTATTTTGTGATAAATAGGTAAGTTGCGCGCAATTTAGAAGTGATATTTGTAAAATATCTTATGTGTTTGCATGCAAACTAATTAGGATAAACATCTATAATTATATATAAGATTTAATTTGGTTAGGGTATTTTAAATAAAGGTTGAAGCACTTTTCTTCCCTGAGAGACATAAATCAAACATAAAATAATATTAAGCCATCTAATGTATAGACCCGCAAACTAACTAGAATTAAACCAAGTAATATAGTTTAGTTCAAGCTTGGTTGTTCAACAATTTGAGTTAGTTCCAATTCAAATGAAAATGATGATGAATATAGTTTGATCACGTACTAATAGTCGTGAACGGATTCAACTCATTCCGAGTTTAATTCTTAACACAAGCTACTTGAAAGGAGATAATTCATGTTTATTTATTAAAATTTGTAATGATACTTCTTTATGCACTACATTGTTAAAAGAATAGGTCTATCAAGTCAACCTAAGATGAAGAAGCATAGGATATTGATTGGATTCATAATTTTATCACTTTTCCAGATGTTGAAATCTCTTTATATCCTTCACAACTATATTTGATATTTATAATTCAGTGATGAATGCATCATGTCGATGTTGTAGTTAATTATAACGGTTGTACCCATGAGAAAAGTCAATTCATTATAATTTTGTTCCTCATGTTGGCTATAGAAAATCTCTTGAATATATATTTCAATTTACTTTTCAAATATTGTGTTGCTTCTCAAGAAATTCCAAAAAGGTTGTATGAATCACAAGTTCAAGATTGTTATGTAATTTAGAGTATATTTCATCATCAATTAATCACCGCTTTCATCAGCTTTGAGCCACATTTCTCTATGATATCAGGCCAAATCTCATTAATGTAAAACCATATCTTTCATTAACATTATAGCACTTCCCTCATTAGTGTCAAGTTACTTTCTATATAGACATATATATTATTTTATATTCATTGATTGCAATACACATATACCTTTTTGAATAACTTCATCACACATTATATAGACAAAAATTATGTTCATACCTTTTTCATACAACATTGTTATTTATAATTTTACAAATAGATCTAAATTTTCTCATTGGCCCACCATGTTTCTTATTATCTTTTTTCTAACATAAGCCATTGACATAAATAACAAGGCTTCAATAACAAGTTTTTAGCTTAAAGGTGCTCCTATAAATATTTAATTACTCAAGAAGATTAATAAAATATTTGATATAATAAAGCCCTAAAGCAATTAAGGCAACTCTCAAATACATGAAGCAATATCAAGAACATGAAGATTAATGTTAAGCTTCAATTTTGAAACAATATATCGTGATATTGCCTCGGTGTAATTAAAGTATAATCATTAAGGGAAGTTCACATTGATGTATTTCTTGACTGTGATTGAAAGAGATATTAAACTAATTATTCTTCCTTATAAGCTTTGTGTATATATAAAAACTTTATGAGAATCTTTTAAAATTTTATCATTTCTTCATTTTTATAAGATATTTATACACCCTTGGGCAAGGTTACAACTTACTAACAACAAGGTGAGGTTAGTCTAAAATAGGCCAATTTTTTATAATCTAGAACTTGATTATATAAAATTGTACTAGGCATAAAAAACATCCAATTGATTCTTGATGGGTTTAATTTGCTTCCTTATGAAATATATTATAATTATAGAGCAAGGCTTCTTTTCCAGTTTTCAATAGATCAAATGGTGCTTCTCATATACAAGATTATGATCACTTAGCAAGGCTTTGATTGATCAATATTTCTTAAACTCATTCAAAAGCCTTAGAAATTTAATTCTTTCTTTTCCACTAAAATTTATATTCATAAGGAATTGAAGCCTTAGTGGATTCATTTGCCATAGGCAAGTTTTCATGGCATTCACAAGAAAGATCTAATAATTTTGAAACAAACTTACAACTCTTAGTTCAATGACATCGCATCACTTGTAAGTGCACAAGTGTGTGTTATTTTTAGATGACAACCTCTCATCTTTTAAATGTGCTTATAAAAGGTATCCACTCATTAAACTCTAGTGAAAATTTTTAATTGAAGGCCTGATTTTTCTACAAAAAATTAGCAAACTTTTTAAAGAAAAATTCATTGAAATTTAACCATTTATCAAAGCTCAAAAAGTATTCATGATAGAAAACGACCTTTGTCCCACAAAACATGACCTCTTTGTTGTGTCATTCTGGCAAGCAGATTTTCTCTTACGGTTGTGCCCGACTTCCATTGTGTGTTTGACTGCATAGGAATTCCTATGCCATAGACTTTATTACTAAATTGAAGTTGATTGGTTGCATGTGTCTTGTGTGAACGTCACACGGTCCTCTGATTTTGTGAGCCACTAATTTTGTATCTACTTTTAGCAATAAGAACATTAAACATTTTTTATATTTTTTAATTCTGATATTTAATTTATTTTAGAGTAGAATAATGACTTCCATGAAGCAACTTCAATAAAATTCAACCATTACAATATTGAAAAGCCTAAATCAATATGTTTACTTTTCAAAATCACAAAATAATACCTTTTTTTCTAAAATATTTATTGACTTCTAAGAACTCAAATTTGCTGAATTTATATTAGCCAATCTTCAAATGATTTAAATTTATTGTTTAAATGATTTATCTTATCATTAAGACTTCAACAACTCAAATAAAATTTGGCAGTCCCTTATAATCGCTTTTTGATGTTTATTAACAGATATCTAAACCCACAGTTTGATGCTAAGAAAAAAATAAAGAATTTTTAGTAGCTTTACAAAAGCATAAGCACTCCGGAAATTTTGGTTATCAACTTTATATCATGTGTGACACTTTTTAGACTTTATACTCTCTTATAATAATTTTTTTAATTGGGTGTTGTCCTTAAATTCCCTATAGTTATTAACCGCACCTCATAATTTATCATAGGTTATCAACATTGCATTTTGACATATAGTGGACAAATCTTGCTAGGTAGCAAATGTCAGATGTTCGAGAGGATATTTCGTACAAAGTCCTCATGTGGATTCTAATACCTAATATTTTTACCAAATGCTCAAAGATTTATTGTTCCGACTTGACATGACAATTCCCTCGATGCATGAAACTATTTGGCCTGATGATCAATCACTTGTCTCATTATACAAAGCTACTCGAACAAGCCTAATAGTCCTTTGTCATGTGACCTATTAGTAATTGGTCAATGGCCCTATTAATCACCCATCATTTTAATTGGCTCAATAGAGTAGATTGGTTGAAATTATGATTGTTAGCTACAAAATCTTCATGTCTAGTAACTTAATCACCTTTAGGCCATGTCATATTCATATATATATATATATATGTGTGTGTGTGTGTATAATTTTAGAAAGAAGAAAATACAGTTGTAAGTTCTTTTTCAAGGCTAAACCAGAATGACCGCCTCCTATATGGAATTTTGGAATATGCTCCCACATATATATATATATATATAGAAAAGCTTTTAAAGCATCCCTAAAAGGTCAATATGGTTAATCATATTAATTAATTAAAGTATAAACTGAATAGATCAATTATGAATTAATTAATTTCATCAAGATTTGAGACTATTTAATTATGATATTTATATTTATCTTAGTCAATCAACTGATTAAATTAAGTTACGATTAAATATATATTAAGGTTTCATGGAAGTTCATTAGGTTTTAATTATGATGATTGGTTTTTTTAAAATATGATTTTTTAATAGTTAGTAATATGATGAAGAGTTAATAAACTAAATTTTTATAAACTTGTTAATTATTTAGCTAGTTAAAAACTTGATTAATTTTTTTAAAAAAATTACTATTAAATGATCTTAAATTTGCACTAAATAACTAATTAAGCCTTTCATTAATCAGTCAGACAAAGTATTGAGCTATTTATATTTATTAATTATTCCTTAATGTTTTATTAAACCCGAAAATTATAGTAGTATTACCACATCAAAGTAACTATCAACTCATAATGCACCAAAGTAATGAGCAACTATGTATTTATTTAGGTTAACCAAACTTAAAATTTCTTTCATTATGATAGTTAAACGTTTATTAGTGTTTAATAATGTTAATTAGGAATGGAAAATTAAATATTTAGTTAATTACTTACTCATTTTATTAATAATCAAAATTTCATTATGATGAATAAGATAGTATTTCAATTATGATAATTACTTTTTTAGAGTGCTTATTTATGATAATTTAATGCTAATTGTACATCAAGAATGTGCAAGCACAAATCCTAATGAGATCTAAAGGCCCATAAGGAAGAAAATATAACAAAGAAAGGTCTATCGACAGGAGATCGAGAGGCCCCACTTATCCAATTAAATGGAGCAATCTAAGACAGAAGGACAAAAAGAACGACCTAAATCCAGACGGATATGACTTGAACAGACATATCAACACCCAAGCTAACTACCACGGGAACGTTGAGCGAATGTATCGACCTAACTCTCAGCAGGTCCAACTTGAAAAAAGAAATCAGTTCCATGTCATCACCAAACATCCCACAAACACCTCTGAGGTTTCTCGCCATGGACAAAAAGTTGGCAATACAACAGAGCCTTACAATCATCCCGAAGGACCCAATTCATCAATGAATGAGATATCTATCTAGTTACATTGATCTACCCATTGCTTGATAGCTTAGTATGGTTATGTTGAAAAGAAGTCCTCATATAGGGATTGAGGGTTGACAGTCAAACTAGACCAACCAATCGGAAAAGCCTAGCTTGTCAAGCCAATTTTGTAGACCCAAATGCAATCGAATCCATCTGACTGGTTGCACCGACTTAGTCAAGCTAGCCGACTAAACTGATATTACTGAGCCAAAGTCTTGTTAGCCCAACCGACCTTGTCATAGAGAGTTTGCTCCCTCCATCGGCTCCTTTCCTCGCCGAGTGCCTTTGTTCCCTCATGCAAAGGCGAGACCTCACTCTCGGGGGATGAAACTAACTCCCTCGATGAAGAACTGGACATAGAAGAAGGGACAACCTAACTCGACTTGTCCCTCTAGTAAAGAGAAACGTAGGAAGGACCACCAACCTGAGGATTTGGCAGAATGACATTGGACGGTGACGTATCAGTCTGCACGTCAGCGACAGAAGAAGAGGGAGTTGTGGCCGCGACTTTGCTTGGATTCCCTGCACTAACAAAGTGAGAAGATTGTTTTCAAGGAATAACAGTGACCTTGCCAGTAACTTAGTCTTGAATAACAACACTATGAGCAGACACCGAGAAAACGTATTTCACAATCACATTATAAGGGAACATATCCTCATCTCCTATAAGATTACCTAGCTCTAAGGGACGCTTTTGCTTCTGGCGCTTAGTAGCCAACTTTTCCTTCGCCTCCCTAGCTCAAACAACTTTTACAATGCCTGAATCACGCCACATCGCTTCCATTATCTCACCCGCCAACACACGAGTAACTGTCATTTCTGCAGTATATTGCAGGATCGACAGATGACAACCAGTCATCATCCCCCCGGTGACCTCCATGCTCTCTAGAAGAGACATTGACTCTAACACTGAGCGTACTATTGACTCATTCCAAATCTGCCAAGCACCATAATAAGAGCCAACCAAGAACTTCTTTTTCCAGTCCTTTATTTTGTTCTATACTTCTATCAAGTGGAGCTTTTTCTCCTCCGAAAACATGACAAAGCCTTTCTTTTCGACCTTAAATGAGAAAAAATACTTAAAAGAGGTTGATATTCCATGAAATATGCTCCCACCTACAGAAAAGAACTAACGTCATTATCACGGCTTTGAAGTTTGACATTACTTGCAATAGAATAACTCCATAAGTGTGAACGACACTCTGAAGCTCGTTGCACAGAGGAAATCGAAGGCCATATTTGAATTAGTCTTAATAAAAGATCAAATCCTTGCCGAGAAGGTCCGTTGCTCGAGCCGACCGTACCAACTTCGGAAGGGTGATGCCCCATTGCAAAACATACTTCCTTTGTAACTCCTTCACTTTGTTCTCCATCAAGAACGAAGGATCAACGCCCTTAACGGAGCCGAAGAGAGTGGGAGAGTATTTTGGAGTTGTTTCAAAAAAACTGAAGATGACCGAAAGAACGAAACAAGTAAAGAAGAAAAATCAAAGCTCGAAAGCAGAAACCAGGATGCATAAAGTAAGAAGCAAAGATTTCATACCTTGTTTATAGGGCAGACACAAAAAATGAAGCATCACACAATGATGAGTGACATGCCAAACACCTTTTCAAATTTATTCAAATGTCTTTTCATTTCAAAATAACATTATTATAAATCTAAAATAAAATGCTTTATAAGCGAGTCTTTTAAGGCTTCGGGCGGGACGTACCCTTTATAACTCAACCTTCGAAGGTCATCACCCATCCTATCATAAGTTGTTCCATTTGATCACCTTGTGATGGAATTTGGACAGGTTGGTTGACTTCCGAAGTGGTCCCGACTCGCACAACACCTCGGCCAAGCCATCATGCAAAGCAGCAATCTCTACCTACAGAGCTGTCACAACGGAGCCCATGAACACCAGAGGGACTGAGACCTCGCGTACATGATCGCCGACCAGACTTTTGGTCGATCCCGCCGATGAAAGAACTCTTGCCACCAAGGAATCAACCCCTCCTGTCTATTGGCTGACAGCTCCAAGGGAAGGCGACCGATGCTCTATTCACTTATGTCTAATACTACAACAGGAAAAGGAGTGGATGAACAATGTCCTTCCAAAATGGCTGCCTTCAGTACTCCCGCGAGCTCGACCTGCAAACCAGTCACTACAATAATGGACTCCGTAATGTTTTTGACTATTCGTTGTCCTAGTAACTGTCTGACTCGGTTAGTTTTTCTGCATATGAAAAATGTCCATAAATACTAAAAATCGACGGTGATCGAAAAATCCTTTACGTACTCATAAATCAATCTATCGGGGAGATGGTCTCTGGACATCTTCCCCCTTTATTTTATTGTGAGGGGCCTTCGCCTTACTACAACAACGACTGAGGAGAAATACCAATCTCCGTTCTCTTCGACCCTTTTTCGCCCTCCTTGACACATTCAATGAGAAAGCCCTGTTGGCCACAGAGCTTGCACCAATGTCTGGCTCAAGAATCACTATCTTATGACGAGGGACTTTCGACACCTGTCCCTTAGGTTCCCTAAAAGAGCCGACTTGATCAGCCGACGCAAGTTAGGTCCTCAACAACTTTTTTTTCCTAACCTTGACCTTTTTTTCAAAAGTCGAGGACATGTAGCCGATCTTTGCCAGAATCTCGGGGTCTACATGGAGCTCCCTCAAATCACTGGGCATAACTCAAATCAGCTGGTTAGTAAAAAATGATGACAACAGATGCAAAGCATATAGAGACGCTATTGATAGAGCATATTGAGCACAAAATCTGAGGGGAGTTTATTATTAAAGTGATTTTATTAATCTTAGTACCAGTGAATATTAATAATTGTGCTATTCTTATCATAATTGTTACATTCAAGGGGGAGTAAATTTTGGACAACTAATATATATACACCATAATTGTCTGCAAGAATCTTAAAGCATTTGAACGACCAAGATGATGGCCAGATAACCAAGATGTTCTACAACTCTACTGTCAACCGCATGGTCAAGAATCGACCGACACACTATGGTGAGAAAATCGAATAGCAAACCATGCCGACAGTTCTGACCGATTGGAACGTAGGTGGGAATCATTGATCGCGGCTAATCGGTCGACCTGCCTTTTATCGCGATGGACAAGATCAACACTCAACAGGGCACCTCAGCCAACCAACCCATAGCGTGGTCGCCACTCAACCGGTCGCCTCAGTCAGCTGAATTCAAGCAAGTCGACTGGCCAAGTTACCGTCATATCAATTGTATTAAGAGTGATTTCTATAATTGCTCACTTATTTCTGTAATTGTACAAAATAAATTTTTGTAAATAGAAGACAAAAATACGAACAAAATGACCTTTTGTTTATTCTTTCTACAGGAAACTCCTGATTTGCCATATTACTTCTCTTTTTTTCTTTCACACAATACTAAACTCTCAGGATGTGTTCACAAAAGACAATTTAAGATCCAATATGTATATATATAAAACCTCTACATTGAAAAACCTCTGAAGGGTTACATAGATAATCTTTGGATCTCTCCCTAGTCTTATGCCCATCTTTCTTTCTCTCCTATCTTCACTCTACAAAAATAGAATCTTTACAGATATACTCAAAGATACAACACCTACCTCCTAAAATGATAACATGTCCACAAGCAAAAAGTGCCTTACTTGCATCATATTCGCTAGAACTCAAAAGGAACAATAGTTCCCCGTCCCTATCTCTTTACTTACCCACTCATACTGCCATACAGAGCCCCACATTGTTGCTGCGCCTCCTCTGCTCCCCGCCCGCATCTCTGCAACCACTCCCATCCCACCGACCCCTCAACACATAAATGCCTCCCACCTCTCTCAACTCTCTTCTCCTCCCCGTCGCCCCGCTTTCGCTCCGTTTCACCCTCTGAAAATCGCCGTTGATGGCAGCAAAGTCGCCGGAGAAGTTATCGCCTATACCGGCGTCAGTGCCCAGACCGAGATCTCCGCCTAAGTACCCGGATATTTGCGGGCGGCTTCGGCTGCAGGTCGAGGCGCAGAACCTAAATCGGGAGATTATGTTCCTCCAGGTAATGAATCGCAATCCTTCCCTCTGATTTCTCTGCGATTTTTATGATTTGTTTGTGTGAGATTTCCATCTGTGATGCCCGATGAATTATAAAAATTGTTTTTTTTATTTTTTTTGGTTTTGATTTTGAGTTTTTTAAGTAGGATCGGTAAGTTGGGAAAAATATTGAGAAACTGGTATTTGATTTCTGCGCTGAGTGCAGGAGAAAAAAAAGCTAATTAGTGGACATTTCTTGAGATGTTCCCATGGTGTCTGCTGTTTCGTTTTGTAGTTTCTTATCTGTCTAATCACATCCTTTCGGATGGGATGGAAGTCCTCTTCGAAAATGTCAACCTTTTCCGAGAAAGCAAAATTAAAAATTTATATAAAAAGAATTTTTTTTTATATGTGAATTAATTAAATTTAAGATATTTTGATATATTTTGTTTGAAAATTATATATATTATGTTAATGGCGAACAAAAAGACCTTTTTTTTCCGTCAATATCTCTCCCTCGAGCTCCGCTCCTTGTTCATTAATGGAGGCACGGTTGGGACGTGTATTCCCAACTCCATTTGAGTTCTCCAGCTCATCCCGCGCAGCTTCTTCCGCCACTGCTCCCATCGCTCTGTTCTGCAGCGAAACTTGCGCAGCCCATCTTTGACGAGCAACCGCTGGTTGAATCTGGCTTGAGCCAAGAGTGTTGAGCTCAAGACCGTTGTTTCCCTGGCAAGCGGAGCTCAGGGCCGCCCTTTGAGCTCGACTGAAGCTTGAGGTTGAGGTGGAGCCCACCATTGAGTCGACGGGTTAAGCTCGAGTTAACCCTAACTCAAGCTTAAATTTTGGTTAAACAAATTAAATCGAATTATAATGCGGCTCAATTTGCTTTGATTATACATGTTATTTCGTCTATTCTATTATATATATATATATATATATATATATATATATATATATAGGGTTAAATTTATTTAATTAATTTGTCACACAGACACATACTATCATGCTCTGTATTATTTGCTTTAGGGACAAGATATTTTTGGGCTAATATAGTTAGAACTAGCATCAAACCTCTCGCATTGTGCTTGTGTTATCGTACTAGTAAATCAGTAGTGGTTGATATAGTTTGGTTAAAGAAATCATCATTGAACAATCGGTGCTATTATTCATACTTGAACAACCGCGTATAATTTGTTTTGCATTGATCTTACAGCATATTGCACGTGGTTTCATCATGGAGAACATTGTCAGCTGATCCAATTTCAATTATGAGAAGGCACAATCTATGATTTTGCACCACTGTCATTATTAACTATGAACAAAATTTTAGACAACTATAAAATATCATTTGAAAAATTATAATAAACTTGTTAAACACATTAAGTAGAATTTTCAAGTTTAGAAAGCTATTCAAATAATGGGTGTAATTGAGTTAAGTTGACTCATAAGCTGTCTTGCGTTTCACTCCATAAATGGCTCGTGAGTGGATCCGTATCTACTAATTAGCTCATGAGCTAGCTTGTTTAAATACATTTAGATAAAATGTATATAACATAATAGAATTCAAGGGTTAAATGCAAATTTGTTTAAAATATTTAAAAATTCTCTCTTTTTTCATCTCAAGTGATTTTTCATTCTTTATTTTATTATTATCATTCTTTTTATCATTTCTTTACACCAATGGCTAGAATCAAAATCATCTTCTTTCTTTTATAATAAGCTCATAAATTTATGTTTGTATCTCAAGTCAAACATGATTAATTACTTATTCAAGTTCAAGCAAGGGGTGCCACAACTCAATATGTTAGCTAAAAGTCCCACTTCTCTACTCTTTGGCCAAATTTACATTCCTAATACTAACACTTCGCTTGTTCTACTACATTCTTCGTTGCCTGCTTCTCAATCAACATCTTCTTTGTCCCATGGGTAATCATTCACAGCTTCAACCCATTCTCTTTAGCCGATGAATTTATTGACTTACTGCATCAACTTTTTCATTAACATTGCCATTGGCATCATTGTTCGCAACTTCATTCTCAATGTCAGCTCTACTTAATCCACTTGTGCAAGATCAATATACATTTTCTTCATTAAATTCAACTTTGAGGTTGTGCCACCTGTAACAGTTAGCCTTCTCCTACCCTCAATTTCTGTACTTCTGGTAAGTTGCCTTTGGGATCAACGGCCTTTGTATCAAAATATGAGACAGAGTGTAAAAGGGTCTTCTAAGTGATCTGCATTAGCCCACTCCTGCCCTCAATGTCGTGTACCCATCGGTTTAGTATGGCTTAGCCGCCATACTAAACCGATGGGTACACCAAACTAGAGTTAGCCTGACTTGGTTATCCACGGGTGGCTCCTTTGTATAGATTTGGTGATCCAATCAACCGACAGCGTGGTCAATCTGAAATCACAAATCATATGGAAGTACGCATAAATCGAACTATGCCAAATGATCTTAATTATTGCATTTAATCCTACATATCATTTTGGATTAAAACTTTGTGGACTGAGAATTTTCTTTCTATGCATGACTTCCTGCATCTCATTCTATATTTGTATTAAGAAGTCTAGACCTTAAAACATCTTGCGTATAATGTGATGATCAAATTTTCTTCGAATCATCACAAAATCTCTTTTAAACACTTGAGAAAGCATTTTTTTTTAGTCAGTTGGGAAACTTTTTTATCTCTGCATGAAAATTTTGGCATTTTTTTCTACTCCAAGTGTCATGCCTTAGCTCTGTTGCAATGTTGATTACTCCGCAAGCTTTTTTTTTCAGTAGAAAAGATGCCTGGCACATTTTTCTATTTGTTGATTATGTTTCAGCTGTTTTCTGATATATGAAGTTATGAACCTTCATATTTCAGAGGTTCTCTCGACTTGATTGAGAAGCTTTTGGTTAGAAAACCTTACTTTAAATTAATAAAAGCACGCCTATATGAATTTACATGTTTTTATTATCTAGTGTGTTTGTTGGCCTTTTTGAGCAGGAGGAGCTGCAATCACTTGAAGAAGCTCAGCCTGTTTCTGGATGCTGCAAAGAGTATGCATCAAAATTTTGTTCTATTTCTGTTTCTAAGTTGTTATTATTGTTATCATTATCATGCAACCAAAAGCATGATTTGGTGATGCATTTATGTATTATTAAACTTGGAGATTGACATTCATCTCACACTAGAAGTATTAACATATCTAAGACTGAAATTTTTTATTTATGTATATATTATCCAATTTCTTGATTAACATCAAAAGCATCACTAATATTTATTTTTTAAGAAGTGAAAACATGCTTATGTTTTGATGTGACTAGTCTCTAAAATGTTATATAAGTAAATATACAAGTTTTAGTATTAGATATGTAAATTTATAAAAACTCTATGATATATATGTAAATTCTCCTAATTAACTTACATGGTGCTTAAAATAATCTGAATTATTCGTATTAAGTCCAAAGACCAAGAATCTTGACTCTCTTACTAATATATTAAAAATTTTATGAGGGTCAATATTCAAAGAGTGAGACTTCTACAATCCTTGATCCATTTACATTAACTTAATGAAAGCAATGAAGCTAGAGGAGCTGAACCATGAACTAACCTGTTGAGCTTGAGTGAATATTATGTGTTGTATCCGCATGTACGGGTTGGCAGTATTATGGTGCTATTCAACTCAATACCATCAAATCCGCACCTATCATGTCCCCACCTATAATTTTTCTAGGCTTTGTTTCCTTGCCTTTCTTCCTGACGAAATGTTGCTAATGGTGACTGTGGCAGGGTTGATGAGTTTGTACAGACAAAGGCAGATCTATTATTACCACAGTATGATTCCTTCACCTCGTTTATCAAACTGTGATTTTTATGGTAGCTCATTGAACTTTATACATATAAATATTTTTTTCTTTTAAACAGAAAGAAGAAGAAACGAAAATCCTGCTCATTTATTAAGTCACTCAGGTAATTCACCTTCCATTCTAGTTTTTTCAATGGATTCAGAACTCCAAACGTTTAGAAACTGCCGTGTATCAACAAAAGTTGAGGCTTTATGCATTGCAATGCAAATATGGAAAGTTACTCAAAATTTCTTTTTGATGGTAATTATTGTTAAGAAACTTGTAAAAAAAAACTTTGAATTTTTTTTCTGTTATAGATCAAAGCTCTGCTGCACATTCCCTTGCTCTCTCCTGCTCAGAAAACCAGTAAGATGTCTTCTTCATTGTTTAAATAGCTGCAAAATCTGTTCTGGAAACCATGATTGCTCCGGCTGCCATTTCTGTAAGAAGTCATGTACTTTGCCTGGCTGCAATTTTCCGAGTTTGAGTTGCCCCAGTTGTTCTTGTGGATGTGTCTGGTACTGTTGCCCCAGTTGTAAAGAGCAGAGGTTCTGCTGCTGTGATAAAGCATGCTGCAGCAGCCAATGTCTTTGTTGATCCAAGTATTCATATTTGGAAGATTTACATCCATACCATTCAACATTCAACATATCTAATACTTGAACTTCTATTTTTTACATACATTAACACCTTATTTATGAATAAATTGTATTTCACTTTTTAGAAGTCTAATTTGGTGGTATTTTTTATGTGATGTGAAAGATGGGATGCTATAAATGTTAAAAAAAAAAAATTAAAGTTTAGGTGTTAGATATGTAAATATATAGGAATGGGGTGGCATGCATGTAAATGCCCTTTTTTATTTATCGTTTTATGCTCTCTTGGAATCATTCTTTTGATTATCAGGGGCGGAATCAAATTATGTCTGGGTTTTGGGCAATTGCCCTACTTAAAATTTGAGATTTTTCTATATAAACAATACATATTTTTGTCTTAAGCATTTATATGCATGTCAACCAAATTTTATGTATTTATATATCTCATACATAAATTTTATTTGTTTAATTCTTCTATATCACATAAAAAATGTCATTATTATATTTTTTTAAAAATAAATTATACATTTTCATGTAAAAATAAAGGGCATATGTGTAAAATTAAAATTAAGCTATTATATACGTAAGACATAGAAGTTAAGGGGTACGTATGTAAATATTTCAATATATATATCTCCTTCTATGTATTCCAAGAAAACACAAAGCATGTTTATTTATAAATAAAGCATGAATTTGTAGCCACTCTCACGATTTTAAGTATTGATGTGTGCTAGAAAATTTGTGACACTAGAGTATCATATTATCGTCTTAGTGTGGTATGAAGATTTAAAACACATTCAAAAAAAAAAACTAATAATGACATTATAAATTTAAATTAGAAAATGAATAAATTACGAGGTCTAATCTGAGGATGTTTTATCATGGTATCAAGATTCAATGTGCACTCGGAAAAGAAAAAAATAACTAATAATGGTATCATAAGTTCTTATCTGAAAAAAATCAGAAACATTAATTAAAAGTTAGTTATATAAATTAATAATTAATTTTTATGAACTAATTACTCATGAAGTCATAATTTAACATTAATTAATTACTTATTACATAAATTTAAAAAAATAGAAAAAAAATTAGGTAAATTTTTATTAAATATATATATATATATATATATATATATATCAAATTAAATATAATTAAATAATTTTATATTGTACACACACATAAATGTATGTATATATCTATATTTAGATATATAGATATAGATATATACATACATATATGTGCGTTTAATATAAATTTATTTATTTATAATCAATTTGATAATATATAAATTAATTATTAGTTATCAATCAATTAACTGAATAAAATTAACTTGAATAAAAGTAAATTAAGACCACAAACCCATCTCCCTCGTCCCTCTCTCCCCGAAACCCTCACCTACATCCGCCCATGCTTCCCTTCCCATCTCTGTCCAAAACCCTAGCTTTTGTCACTCTTCCGGTTTCGCCCAAAACCATCTTTGTGAACGAACCTTTGCGATACAGCCTCCATTAGAGCTAGCTGGGAAGTCAACGACCGGATTGCGGCTTACAGAGACCGCCGAAACTCCTTCTTTCTTATCCTTCCGCTCCGCTCCTACCAGAAACCATTGAGGAAGGTAAGCTTGTTCGCGCCTTTCTTCCTCTTCGCTCGTCAATGATTTACTAAATCCGCCGATTCAAAGAAATCCCGGTTTATAGCTCAGGATTTACGGAGGTATTTTTTTTCCGTTTGGCAGGATATAGCTTAAATCCTGCATAAATCCTGCTTAAAACCGGATACCAAGCAGCCCCCAAAGGGTAGCATACAGCCCCTTAGACGGGATTGAACGGTAGTTCTACTTGGGGCTGCCGATAGGTCGGAAACAAGACGTCGGCAGCGAAATGGCCGCCGGAAAGCGGAAGCATCGTGATAAAGAGGCTGGGGAAGGAGATAGAGAGGATGGGGAAGAAATAAAAAAGGCCAAATTTTTACCTTCGATTATAAAAAACAAGGAGAAGCGTAGCAAAGTGTACGCTGATCTTAAACGCGATAAGCGGTCTGCGAAGAGGAAGCAAACCAAGGCCCGTGAAGCCGCCGAGAAGAGAGCTCTCGAGCTTGGTGAGGAAGTAAGCTGGCCCGTCCCTTGCCCTCAGTCTTGTGTTTCATCGTCCGTCTAATTTTTAGTTTCGTCGCTGTATGTTCATGAATTCGCTGCTTAATTTGTTCTTGTGTGATGAAGCCGCCTCTAAAGAAGATTCCTCGGACCATCGAGAATACAAGGGAACCGGATGAGACAGTCTGCAAGCCTAATGATGAAGAGGTCTGTGAGCTTCTATTATTATTGTTTTTCATACAGTGATTTTTTATTGCAGTTTAGTTTGGGGAAATAGCTGTTGCGCTATGTTGCGGTTTAAAGCATTGCATATTGTGAGCTAGCACTTTAAATTGGTAATGTTAATCAACAAATGTGAGCACCTTAGTATCACGTTGATGGCGCTAAGCTTTGGCACCTTGTTCCCAAGCAAAGTGCTTTTTTTAGAAAATTAACTACTTTCCTAAGGTGGTAAAAGGACATGATTTTTTTGAAGTGGGTTGTTCTTACATATATGGTGTGCAGCATGTGCTAAAGATTGAAAATCTACCATGAATTTACTTTTATTGACCGCAAATTTTTTTTAATTATTGTATTGTAGTAAGAAAGTCAAAAGAAGGAAATCTTTAGCTCATTTCTATTCACTTGGCAGTCTTTCAATGGAAAATTTGCTATCAAAATTTTGTCTTTTATGTTTTATTAGAAATTGTGTCAAATTTATACTCACCATCACACTTCTTCTTCTTTAACCCTTTTCATTTTTACATATTTTATTGTGAATTCTCTGAACTGTATGATGATGTGCTAAGAGACTTAGTTCAATAATATTATTTTGTGAGTGCTGGCTTTTGTATATTATGCAATTTGGATTAACAATTTCTATGTAACTCTAGCAATTTCTATTGAATTGATTGAAAATGTTATATTTTTTATTTTTAATGAACTTTCTATCGTAATTACGGTATTATTTCTTTTGTAATTAATTTCTCAAGTGAAAAAACTTGAGCGCTTTGTCTCTTGCGTCGAGCAATTTTGGATTTTTGAGCTTCAGTGTCAACTTTTATCTCGAATAATCTTAACACGCTAGGTCTAGTTGAGGCCATCTTTCATAATATTTGAAAAAGTTTGGGTGCTAGTCGTGCTAGGTTTTGATATGGAAGGAGAATATGTTTTTCTTGGCTATGAAGGCATTGTTAGTTACTTGTAATAGGTGGATATATAAATTGTAATGTTTCCCATGAAAAAAAGTTATAGGTGTAAGGCACAATTTTTTTTTTATATTGTCAAGCAATTCAACTTGAACTTTTGATGGTTGAACTAATCTGTTTTATTAGATGATGCTTAGTGTTCGACAACTCTACTTAACCAAATTATTAAGGTGGGTTTTGTAATAACAATTGAACAATTTAATCTAAATATTTTTTCCATCTCCTCTAAATTTATAAAGTGGCATTTTAATTCCATCTCTTGTTGGCATGTTTGCACATGCCCACATTGCCAAGAACGCAAGCTTGCGTGCTCTAACATGGGAGTATATAGGGACATTTGAATATAGGTGCATGGTTATGCAGAAACACAAGTATGCTAGCATATGGGCGCAGTCGGTACAATCGGGAAAGCTGGCGAACATGGTGGCATTTAGACAATTGGGCCTCAACAAACACATTTACGTGTGGCACTTGGGCATGTGGGGCAGCTTGGGCTTTTTTGGTGTCGTGTGTGTAGGGCCGGTGTGCTCTATGTGAGCATATGCATATGATTCATCACATGATTCTATCACCACAATATCACATAGCTGCTTCATCTTACATATTCAAAATATTTATGTACCGATGAATAAAAAATTCATTTGAAATTTAAGTTGACTAACATGGATTAATTTTTTTAAAATCTTCAATTCCTATAATGAGAAGCTCTGGCATTACATTCTCTAATGTCTTTGCCTCCAAGATTGTTTTTAAAAAAGTTCATTTTCTTTGCATGATGCTTAAAAGTTTCCTTACAATTATCTGCACTATTATTAGAATGGTATTTTATATCCAAAAAAGAAAAATCCTAATCCTTCATTCTTTGCCGAAAATTATGTTATTCAATAACTACTTTTCTCTTAAAAAAATCAATTGAAGCATCTCAATGTTGAATTGCCTCTCACAGTACTTGTCCCTTGCCGCTTCTTCCCTTTTAAATTTTTCTAACTTTTTTTTCTTAACACATTTGAATTTTTTTAAAATAAATTTTGTTGCTGCAACAAATTATGATCGAGAAACTGTAAAGGTGTTCAGCTAATGCTAGCTAGTTACTTAACTGTGAAATTGCTGTAGAAGAAAGTGATGTTCAAGGTTGTGGCTGAAGCAGTTTATGTTGTTTGGAAAATCCAGCTGTCAGCTATTGTGTTTTTTATGTTATCAATGACCTGGATATCCTTATTCATATTAGAGCACATAAACTTTATTATTTTTTATTAAATAAAATCACATTCATTTTCCCAAAAATAATAATAATATTCCGATCTAATATTCTTTGAAATCACTACCCATAAAAGCAATTTTCACCAGTTTTCACAGTTTGAGTTCTCCTATGAATACCATTCATTTAAATAACTTAATGTAAAGAGGATTTCTTACAATGCATTTAATATTTGATAAGCTAATAACTTCTAATAGAAAAAGTATCGCAATGTAATACAATTGTTGAAATCTGAATTATAAATGCAGTCCATGAACTCCTAAGAAGCAACTCGTCTCATCTCTACCTTGCATCTCAATTTTCAACGCAGTTTCATCATGATCTATCATTCATCAGCAGTTTGAAACTCATATTGATCAAGTATGAATGATCCACATTATAAAAATTGAGGTAAGGGTCACATGGAAATGGATGATTACTTTTGTGGCTGTGTAGTGTCATGGTAGTTTTTGGAAGCTCTATGTGCCTTTTGAAAGATTACATTAGCTTGCCATGCAAATAACCTAATTCTTTTTCCAAATGCCAAATGATTTTCTAATTTCACCTTACTGTGAAGGATGGCACTTGTTGAATTTCTCTTACTTCCTACTTATCACTTGTATCTTTCTTTGGTAATCAAAGATAAGATACTTTGTATCAAGAAATGATTTTAGAAACCCTGTTGCATCAGATATCTAGCATCTACGAGGTGTTAATTACTATTAAAATTAAGCATCAACTATTTATATAGAAATATAGTATTATTGACCAAGTAATTTTAGTTACTAATGAGAAGATGGCATGGGAATGTTATTTTGATTGTATCATGTAACAAATTTGAAGATATGATTGTCATGTGACCCGCCTTCTCAATCTATACAATGAAGATAAAGCACACTGAAGCACACCAGCGAGTCAAAATGACCACCTTTTTACTCTTAGGAACATGAGCATCTACATGAATTCAGTTATTTGCTTCAATGAAATCCTATCTGATTAGGCATGATTATGGTTTTTGATAATTTGTATAACAACATAAAAATTAAAATGTTAGAAGATATCTTGAACTAAGACATAGAACAAACTGTTATTTAGTATCTTTGTTTTCATGCTTTGAAAACTAGGATCTTTGAGCCTCACAACTCTGGTAGAAAATTATACTAGAGCATTCAGGCAAATAGAAGAAAGGCCTGTTGATAATCTTAGTTGAATTTTAGAATCACTCTTGCATTACCTTTATTTATTCATTATAAAATTGTTTAATATGATAGAAAATACTTTCGTTATGGTGCTGTTTGACAAACAATATATTAGGACATGAACACTTTGCAAATTATGCAAGAGATCAACAAAAAATATTTGCATTTCTCCGGTGAAATGCTAGCAATCCGCCTGTTTATTTATTTTTAATATAAGAGGTCATACATTTAGCTTGTATGTATAGTTTCATGTTATTCATTTATACAACACATACCTGCTAGTACAATGTTCTTATTTTTGCTGCAGTTATATTTCTCGTAAAAATGTTTTCATTTGTTAGTACTCCTATTGTTTTTTCTTATTTCTATGAGTTTTTTATTTTATCTGGTCTGCGCACAGTTGTTTGCAGCAAATGATGCTGATGAATTCAGCAAGATTTTAAAGCAAGAGATAGCTCCAAAAATATTGATTAGCACATGCCGCTTCAACTCAACTGTAAGAAGTTCATTTTTTAAATATAATTTTTGCATATTCAAGGTTTGCTAGCGCTATTTTTGTCCCTTTTTTGCAGAGAGGACCTGCTTTCATTCAAGAATTGTTAACAGTTATTCCAAATGCCCATTATTATAAGCGAGGAACCCATGAACTCAAAAAGGTATTTTAATGGAAAATTACTTTTTTTCTTCACAAGGAGTCAGTGATTCTATAATTTTTATACTTTTGTTTATTCTGCAGATTGTAGAGTATGCCAAAAACAAAGACTTCACATCAATTGTAGTTGTTCATACTAATCGTCGAGAACCAGGTAATTTTTATTTGTCTTTCAGGATAGATTTTTGCTGCATTAATAAGAATTATTTTCTGCATTTATTACCTTTCCAGATGCGTTGTTGATAATCAACTTGCCTGATGGACCAACCGCACATTTTAAGGTTTCTAATCTCGTTTTACGCAAGGATATTAAGGTAATTTAGGTGCAGTTTTAAATTAACCTTGCCATCTTTAAGATAACAAGAATTTTTTTATGAAACTTTTCTATAACTAATGCATACAGATTTCTTTTGGTTTTGCTGTTATCTATCTTAATTTTTTGAAATATATTTTTGATTTTGGTAGAAAATGAGGTAGATAAGAAGAAAGACAAAATATTGGAATACTTGTTTATTTTCAATGGTTGAAATTTGGCCCCTATAAATTGTGGGTTTAAAAGGTGAAAAATAGGACAGAAATTAGCTCTCCCTGGCTAGAAGGAAAATTGAAAAATTACAGCAGGTTTAATCTTAAAAACTATTAAATGCAGTTGATAGAATCCGTAGATATTATGCATCCATTAGCCCAGCTTCAGCAGCCATTTGTTTAACCTACAAATATTGATGTCACGGAGAATTTCCACCTGGAATTGCTCTCGAGGGAGAACGCTACAGTTGGTGAGGCTCACATTAATTTAAATTTCATCAAGCAAACAATCCTAGAATTGCAGAAGATAAAAATCATTTATTTATTTATTCTGCTTATTGCATTGGACAGTGACAAACATCGCGTACTCCCCTCAAGCTGATTTGTTACCATCATCGAAGCTATACCTGTCAAATCATTTTTTTTCATTTAAGCAGTTTTATCTTTCGTTTGGCCAAGATTGTCACAATCCAATTGGATGAGGGAATATATCACGTAGATCCCTATTTTGAATTTTTTTAAAAAAGTAAATTGTATGTTAACCTTAATTTGTTTTGTTCGATCACAATGGACTTGGGCTGTGTGCAATATTGATTGTTGCCCTTTTATCATAAGATAATACCCCTAACTTAGTTTTGCATCATAACTTTTACAAACGTGAATTTGCTAGAGGGGATTGCTCCGATCCTTGAGGAAAGTACCTCTTGTTCTCACCAAGATAAGCCTTTATAGGTAGGTCTGTCAAAACGGCTCATTGTTCGCGAACAGCTTGCGATATATATGTATGTGTGTGTGTATATATATATATATATATATATATATTTTGATGAGTATTATTTTAAAAAAAATTAATTAACTACAAGGCTACAGAGATTTATAATCAATTAAAAATATTAATTAAGAAAATATAATAAAAATTATTAAATTAGATTCAAATGATGTTATAATATAAATAATAATTTTTAAATATTACCTCAATCCTTGACATCTTATGACTATGTGATTAGGGTTGTCAATTTGGGAACGGCTTGTGTTCGGCTCGATAAGCAAACGAGTCGAACACGAACACACTTTTTGAGCTCGAAATATAAACGAGCCGAATAGGTGCTGAGCTTGGGCTCGCTCGTGTTCGGCTTGTTTACACCCCTATTTATAGGTTGGGTTTTGGTTGGTAGAATTTTGATGAATATATTGTATCCAAACATTATGAAAAATTTTGCTAGACTAAAATCTCTTGCGGATATACCAAAAATCCATGGGCTTTAAAAGTTTCTTAGTGAGATTAAGGATGTGCACCTTGAGAAGTAGAAACAATCTCCCCATTGGTTTAGCAGAGAGCTAATGATTTAAATTTATGACTCAAGTGGTGCTAGTGCTGACCAGGCTTGATTTTAGTCAATTGAGCTTCTTTGGGGAGTCAAATTATGTTGTTACCTGAGGCATCCTAAGGACCTCTATGGGACTAGACCAAGGTATGTATTTCTAGTTTGGTTGGATATTGAGTAATGGGCTTGTAATTATAAATTAGCCCATATAATAGTTCAATAACTCCACTTAATGCATCTCATTTCTGTTGAACAAAAACACTAGTCCAAGCCAGGCCTCATAATTCCGTTTATTTTTTTTTTCAATTTATAAGATTATTTGCGGTTGAGGCAGACATTGTTACGAAACTTGATATTAGTCTAAAACGGGCCTTCTAATTTCATCTGTTTTTTTGCTAATGTATATAATGATTGTAGCTGGAGTTAAAATCTAAGCATTTTTTGAGGTAAAAAGCAATAATCTGCTTTGCTGTTTTGTTTAGTTTTTAATTATTATTATTTGTATCTATTTTTTTAAATACATCATTTTTATGCTCTTTAGGACTAAGTATTTGAATTTGTTTATTTCGCATGATGAAGGAATGTTCTCACTGAAAAAAAGTTCTGGTTCAAACCCTATAATCAAAATCTGAATTCTCTTTAATTTTTGTCTTCTCAAATACCTCAGAACCATGGGAATCCTACAAACCACAAGCCAGAACTTGTTTTGAATAACTTCACTACTCGCCTCGGATGCCGAATTGGTAGGTGAGTTTCTTTATGTTCATGGAATGATTAGTTGTTAGAGATCAACATTTATTTTTTTAAACTTATAATCTCTCCATTTATCAAGTGCTTATTTACCCATCATTTTAGTTAGCATTAATTATTGGTTATCAACTACCTCCTTTTTATATGTATTTATGCAGGATGATACAATCACTTTTCCCTCAAGATCCTGTCTTTCGGGGTCGTCGTGTTGTAACATTCCATAACCAAAGAGATTTTATATTTTTTCGCCATCACAGGTAATTTACTTCAGGAGATATTATTTTTTGTTAGAAGCTGTAAAGATCGTTCAAAAATTGCTTATAGTTCTCATATTTAAATCATAAAAGATTTTTTAGTCATGAAACATGTGGACAATGCACAATTTTGAATTTATTGTGATCAAGATTATTGTTTTACTTAGGGGTTGCTTGTTTGAGAATAAAAGGAGTGCCTTGCATTCTTTTTTTATAAGTTTTGGAAATCCGAATGGTTGGTCGGAAAAGAATCTAGTTTCAATTTACAGTGCATTTGGAATTAATTCTCTAGTTCAATTTCATTGTATTTGAAATTCTCTGAATTTGGGTGAATTTCAATTACACCGCTTTGTGAAGTGTTTCCCGCCCTTATCACTGCCCTCCAACTGCCGCCGCTGCCTACTCGTCTTGCAGCTAGCTGCCTTCTCCTATTGCCGCCACTATTGGCCACCTGATATGGTTGGTCATCATCACTGTTGCTGGACGTATTTTGCTTTAATTTTTTTTCTTCAAACCAGAAAAAAATTTAAAATCTTGCATTTACTTTACACTAAACCAAACTGAAAAATATTCCAAATTCAATACATGACTTTCACATTGCATCCTTATTTTTAGCAAATCAAACAAGCCCTTAATGTGTTGCTATGATGTCGTGGTAATTAAAAAAGAAATTAATATTAGTACTGCTGTTTGAAGAAGTATAGTAACAGTTTAAGCTTTTTTTTAAACTTGACATCTCTTATGCTATAGGTGCTGCTATCAATATCAGATATTATTAACCCTTGCGAGCTTTAAAAGGCACTCATGAGCATATAATGCTATCTGTTTATCCCTCTTTGGAGTTTTATGAGATGATTTGGCATGGGGGTCGGGCTCAAGCTTTCCCATGATCCCACTATTATTAAAGTATTTTTCTGATGCTCGATTTCTCTTGTTTAGGGACGTTATTACATATTTCAATTTTGTTTGGTGTTTGGTGACTTGACACATAATCATAGCACAAAATTGTTGTTGTGTTCTTCATTTTTGAAGTTAAATCAAATTAGTATGAAACGGAATTAAGCTTGGACTAAACTTGTGTGGTTAGCCCAAAACTTAAATCTAGTTGGGCAGGCCCAATTTAATTTGTTGAGTAGTTATAGCTAGAGTAGAATTGTTGACCAAAATATTTCAAGTCAATTTCCGCTTGGGTTGAATTTAGTAATTTAAAAATTTGTTATTGAACAGGCAAAATTTAAAAAATAGAAATTTTTTTACAATTTAATATTAAAAATAGATAAACTAAAAGTAAAATTTGGGAAATGAACAAAGTTGCCAGCTGGCCAGCAACTTTGCCACGTGGCTATTACTTTTTTTATGAGAGGGAAACCTACGGTTGGGTCACGGCGGGTGGTTCGGCAAACATAAATGGAGAGAGGTCGCAAAGAGGAGCTCAGTTGTGTTGGTGCTGCTGTCCCATATGAGTGGAGAAGTTGCATGGATTGAAATAGAGAGAATATGGTCATCGTTTGGGCTTGCATATGTCAAGGCTACCAGAGTTGCACATCTCTCCCTAAGCACGCAGAAGCCTCTCTTCTTTTCTCCACACACAAATCACAATTCTCTCTTGCCTTCCCATTCACGTGAGATCCTTCTCTGGTTTTCTCACACCCTAAGCCATCTCCCCTTTTCTGGCAACCTTGACCCTCCACTCTCACGGGACGCCAGCACCAATGCAACCGGCTCTCTCCCTCTGTGTTTGTTGAACCACTTGCCGGAAGCCGCAGCCGGCCAACCAATGACCTCCTTCCCTCTCATAAAAAAAATTATTAGCGACGTGGCAAAGTTGCCGGCCAGCTAGCCACTTTGCTCATTTCCCAAATTTTATTTTAGTTTATCTATTTTTAATATTAAATTTTAAAAAAATTTATTTTTAAAATTTTGCCTATTGATCTGGAATGGAATTATACTCGGTTAAAATTTGCCGAACCTGAATGAAGTACGATTATGCTCTGGCAAACTTAATGTGAGCTTAATCAAAATTGATAAGAATTAAAACTAGTGCGGTTGCTTCTACTAAAAAAATTTTTCATCCTAAAAATCCACAAAGCTTTATATAAAAAGGGAGCATTTACATACATACCAACCAATTCATTTGTTTACATATGTAATATCTAAACTTTGTTTTGTGCATTTATGCCACACAAATCTTTCGTATCACGTCAAAATTGTTATTATTTTTACTTCTAAAAAGTGAAATACACATTTTCATGCATAGGTAAGGTGTCATGTATGTAAAAAATTGAAGTTTAGCTGCTAGATATGTAAATACATAGGAATTGAGTGGTATTTATGTAAATATTCCATAAAAATATTGGAAAGCACCTTATCTACTGGTTTGGTACAAGAGGACTTAAGACTATGGTAAATTAGGAAAACCTTTCTGTTGAACTTTAGCATATGGTAAATTAGGAAGTTACAAAGCTATTTTAAGTAATTATGAAAATGTTTGATACTAAGGACCTTTGATGATAATGCAAATATATGGCGATTAGTTAAAAAGAAAGGTTTTCTCATTCTATTCTTTGTCATTTTGGTTTATGCCCTATAAACAAGGATATCTACCGCCATATCAGTACCAACGAATCTTGTGAAGTTTTTATTTAATGCTATGCTGTTTTTCCGATTAACTATCACGTGAAGAAGTAATGGCTTAGCTTTATTTGTAATTTTTGAGACTCTGGTTTGCCTATCTCTTTGCTGTATTTCCTTTAATTCACTGAGAACTGGTAGTTGGTTTTCTCTCTAATCATTACTATTCTAAAACAAGATAGCATTAGTGTTGATATTAAAGAAATATGCTGAAAGCTTTTACGTTCCTTTCATTCTTTTCAGAATTGCAGCATTTAAGATATGGATTTAATAAATTTGAATTTTTTTACTTAGATATATCTTTGAAACCAAGGAGAAAAAGGATGATACAAAGGATAAAAAGGCTCAGAGTGCCCAAAATAAGATCAACACTCAAGGGCGAGTCATTGCACGCCTTCAGGTACCACTTAAAACATCCTTTTTTTAATGACGTCAGTTAGATTCCATGTGATCAATTTCATTCTGAACTTCAAATTTATTCAGGTATCATTTTCCCTTATTATAGCCATTAGTTCTTGGTTATTTGGCACTTTTAACTCTGTATTGATTTCCTCCAAATATTATGAGGATCTATGGTCTCAAGTAGCTTTCCATCCATTCTAGTTATATGATCATATACATTAATGACCATTATTTTTTAAGCCCAACGAAATACCCCTTAAACTCCCAACTCCAGACCATGAAATACTATAAGAGATAGAATAAAAAGGCTACAATTTCTATATAACGATTGATTAAACAATATCAGTCTTACTTATTTCTTCGAAGATATCCAATGCACCATTCTTCATGTACACCACCCTCACCTACCTTTGTCCGTCATCCAAGCCATCGGCCCATCTTCTTTTTGAAATGATTCGAGGTGGGAGGGCTTGAATCATCAGCGAGGCTGGGAAAGGCAAAAAATGCTCTGAAATATCTAACACTAAACTTTATTTTTTTCATTCATGCCACCCATATCTTTCACAAAAAAAATAGCCACTATTTATAACTTTTCAAAAATGAAACACTTTTTCATGTATAGGAAAGGTGGGTATGTATGTAAAAATTGAAGTTTAGATGTTAGATATGTACATACATTGGAATTTAAGGATATATATGTAAATCCTCGTACTTTTATCCCTCATTTTGATGCTAATGCTGAATCCACAATTTTGAAGCATGGTTAGCCGGCCTTGATGTTTTGACATTCAATGCATCATATGAACTTTATGAGCAATTATGATAACCAATAGAGTTTATATTTGAAATTTCTTTTTGGAAACTTCCAAATTTAGAGACATTCAGAAGTTTACATCTTTCTTCTTGTATATACTTATTAAACCTTGTCTCTCTCTCTCTCTCCCATCTGTCATTCCTACCAGGAAATACTTTTCCATTATAACCTTGATTTATTGCACCGAACGCCCTTGAAACCAAAATCCTGGAAAGTCTTCTGTATTAAGAAAATAATCAATTTATTGGGCTTTTTTGCAAATGATAACAAGTATCTTTTGGTATGTTGTGCAGGAATGTGGTCCTCGCTTTACACTTAAATTAGTCACCCTGCAGCATGGAACCTTTGATTCCAAGGGCGGAGAATATGAATGGCTCCATAAGGTGATGAACACCAAAACTTCACCCTATTATTGTTGTTTTTGTAATTTTTTTTAATTTTCTGTGATTATAATCTTGCAACCCCTTTGCATTTTTTGTGAAAATGTTAGGCGGATATGGACACGAGCCGCAGGAGATTTTTCTTGTAGGCTAGAGATATCAATCATCTATTAGGAGGATTTTTCTCTTAGCTTTCTTCAGAGGGCGCACGCTTTGGTTTGTCTCATGCATCAGTAATTAGTGAATATCTTATTTCAACAAAAATCATTTAATTATTTTGCTGTTCAACTGTTAGGACGGATAAATCAAGGAATTTTGTTTTTTGCTTCTTTTTTACATTTTGAAAATTTTGATTGTAATGAAGTGAGATATTTGCATATAACTAGTAATGATGTTCAAGAAATTCTTTTGGAGCGCTTAGGCTGCATGCCATCTGATGCATTTAAGCCTGAACGTTTTTCATAATATTTTCTTATTAAAAATGACATTTTTAATTTTATATCAGCATTGAAAAAAGGCATGCCACTCAATGTCCATGCATTTACATGTATCCCATAAACTTTAGTTTCTACATTTTTACGTGCCAAATAGTTTATATCAGATAAAAATTACCATTTTTTTTTTGTTTTAAGAAGTGAAATATGACATGCATTGGTAAGGTGGTATGCTTGTGAAAGTTAAAATTATGTTGATACATATGTCAATACATAAGAATTGAGTGGTATTATAGATCTTCCATATATATATATATATATATATATACACGAGCTGTTTTTTTTGTGACCATCATCTTGTCATACATCACAAACGTTTAAATCAAGTGTGTACTGTTGAGATGTTGCAATTTGAAATTGTAAAGGTAGCAACTTATACTAATCTTCAAAATTTTTTTCTTAAAATTTTTTATTGACAGCCATTCTTCCCTGATTTTACATAAGTTCTTCGTAAATGAATACACGCATTAACTATTTTATAGTTGCTTTGCTTAAAATAAGATATGAGATCGGTGCTACAAATATTTGTTAGCATTAAATTCTTAAATATTTGCGAAAAAGAAAATGGGTGGTTTAATGATTAAATGAGGTTTATGTTTTAAAAATCCTAACTTTCTTAAGTTCAATCTTTTATAATTAATTAGTCATCTTACATCATTGAGTCAATTGTGATCATTTGTTTTTATTGATTAATTTGATTAACTTAATTGTGGTTTAGAATAGACCGCTAAGTTTGTATTTTAAGTAAAGTGTATGCGCAGAGACCTATTATATGTTTACATATTTGTATTTTAATTAAAGTGTATGCGCAGAGACCACCCAACTATTATATGCTTGCATATTTAACAATTTTTTTTATTATTATTTCCACCACCCAAATCTTTCAGATCATATAAAAAATATCACAATTTTATCACTAATGTAAAGGTGTTCGATATTTAAAATTTGACTTTGTGGTGTTAATATGTAAAATTGTAAGAATTAATGGTACGCATGTAAATCTCTATAGTAAGTAGACGGAAAATTATAAAAATTGATGGTCGTTTGCCAATAAAGTCAAATCTGTATGGGGCTCTCAAAACAGCTCATTTGCAAACAGATTGTGTTGTGTTCGATCAGTTAACTTCGTACGATGATAAGTTAACGAGCAAAATATAAAAAAAAATGTGTTCGTTCGTGTTCAACTAATTTTGGCTCAAAATACTACTCATCAATATATATAAAAGTAATATTTTAAAAAAATCTAATTGACTACAAGGCTACAAAAATTTATAATAGTAAAACATTAATTAAAAAAATAGAATATAAATTATTAAATTAGATTCAAATGATATTTTAATATAAATAATAATTTTTAAATTTTGCTCAAATTTGTCTTATGACTACGTGATTAGAGTTGTTAAAAAGACTCTTTGTTTGTGAACAGCTCGTGTTTGGCTCGTTAAGCGAACGAGCCGAACACTAATACACTTTTAGCTCGAAATATAAAAGAGCCAAACACAAGCTGAGCATGGCTCGCTCTTGTTCGGCCCATTTACACCCCTAAATCTGTCCATATGCATTTATGCATGTGCAGAATCATTAATTTATCAAAATTAATTAAACAATCTCTTTGTTAGTTTCTGATAAAATCAGTAAGCACAAATAATGTAGAACTCAATAATTAAGTAGATTATATAAAATTGCTCCAAAATGATCTCTCAAGGATCAGATTTAGATGAATTCCATATGGCCTAGAGACTAAATTAAGGTTAGTTCCATATCATTCTTTTTTGCATGGGTCACTATTTTGGATCAAATTTATAAGATAATACTCGGTCTAAAAAAAAACATAACTGCATAACAATATCCAAACAAATTCAGTCTGCTCATTTACCCCTTCCAAGAAAATCTACCATGATAATTAAACACAGATCAATATATAGGTGCAAATATAAGCAAATAAACAATACCTACCAAATAGAAGTTATTTATAAAAATAAAAAAAAAAAAAAAAAAAAAAACCAAAAAAAAAAAAAAAAAAAAAAAAAAACTCAAGATATTATAGTGGAATATTACAGAAAACTGGTTCCCAAAGCCCAAATATCAAATTATCCTACATTGGTCACCACTTGAATATTCATAGTGCCACCAAAATTGATATTTGATTGAAAAAATAAAATAAAAGATTCAGCCACTAGAAAACATCAAGACCATATATATCTGAAACAAAACCAATATTATTCTCCCAAAAAAAAAAAAAAAAAAATCAGAACAGTTTCGTACCTAAGACGTTGGCCGTCGCTGCACAACAAAATCATCAGCAGAGTAGTAGTCTGCAATTAGCCGGTACATGTATGAAGGGCTGTGCCCGCCCCTGAAAAACGGAACAAACAGTCATCATATGAAACTAATCAAAATTCGCCCACATACATGCATAATAAAGTTTCTCATCATCAACATTAACAGACAGATGTCATCATGCTGCAAGAACAGAATTTATCATCACTTATAGAACTCTTTCAGTATTGCGAGAAACCTATGTCATACATAATCTTGTTTGTCATTGCATGTATGTAATATAAATAAGATGTTTTATTATTAATGTACAAGCCGTTTAGAGATATTAAGCACAAATTATATTTTGTTAGGCTGGTTCATGGTTGTAAGAAATCACAAGTTCTTAAAGCAAATTGGGAACAAAGTACTTGTGCGAGCTGCAACATCCTAGAGAAAGAAAAGCGCAAAGTCCAAAGCCCGTCAAAATTGTGAGAAAGCTATGAATTATATATGTGACTAATTATCATTCATATTCTAACACTAAAATTATTTCTTGTATTCTTAATTCATATGACGCGGGAGTCCAAAATCCGGAATGCCATGCATGATATGGTAAAAAAAATCTTGATAATGAAGAACTCGTGGAATGCCATACATAATCAAAATCAGGTCTCTTGGACATTCTAGTGCAACAAAGAACAAGAAAGCCATATTACTGCGCTCATCAAGGCATTACGACATAAGATGCTACTATTCTACATATTACATTGCAATTATGTGACATTATACAAAAAAACATGAGAAATTCAACTCAGTTTGCAAACATATTTAAGCAAACAGAAGATTGAAAAATAAAGGGCATCGAGGAAAAGAGAGAACTTACGTATCAGTGATGAAAAGGCTCACAAGCTTTGAAGGAATGAAATCAAAAGCAGGATTTACAACATGAAGACGTGGAGAACCTCCAGAAGTGCTAAAATCCATACAATCTGAGAACTCTCCAAAGTCCAACAAATCGGATGGGCTTTTGAAATCATTTAGTAAAACCTCTGGATTATGTGGATACAAGGGGCATAGCTGCAGAAGAGATTGGGAAAATAAAATGCATCCACATCAAAATACATATAATTATGTCTTTATGCCGTCAAAGCAAAAATGAAAGAAAAATATTTAGACAAAGTTAAAAACACAAGAAGGCAAAAAATTTATATCTATATATATAAATGAACTGAACAAGTATCAAGCTATTTAAGCCCCCCTTAAAAACTACATTCAATTTACAAAATTTGTTTTGCCAAAAAATATAAAATATTTAAAATTTTATAATATATACCTTAACAAGCTTTTCATAAGGCCGAAGACAAAAGAGTGAAGCTTTATTTTTGTTCAATCGTTAATGAACTAAGCCAACTATTATGCTCACGTTCTGGTTTTTTATTAACAAACGAGTTGAAAACTGAGTGCTAAACCAGTTGAACACAAGCCGTTAGTAAGCATAAAGCTGGAGACTGGACACCCCAGCGGGCATCCACCCCAACAGATCCCAAATTGGTGAAGATTAATGAACTAGATTATGGTCAAATGACATTCCCAGAATCTTCAAAGATAAACCATATGATAATTTTTTAAAAGCAAGATATTGCTTCTTAGGACCAATGTAGTATAAAATAGTACAAAGTTTTTCAAGTATCAACTGGAATTGCTTCCCCATTACATTGTAGTATGTACAGAAAATAACGAATGACATTTTTTACATGGAATGGACAAACAAAAATGTCAAGAAACATCACGTTTATAGAGACTAGAAAGTGATGTTCTCCAGTTAGTTTCCATCCATCATTTGTTTTTCATATATAGCTTGAGCGTTAAGCTGAAATATTCTATAAAGATCAACATTGAAAACTTCAGTTGCATCTCCCAACAAAACCTTGAGAATATCATATGAAGTTTATGCTTGTTTCCGAAGGATTTGATATTGAAAAACATACATTGGCAGTGAGTTAAGAGAAACAGTGAAATAAATTAGAAGAAATGCAGATGAGATAAGTGCAATGAAACATTTGTAACCAAGACTACCACACATTAATACATGCAAATGTTCAACAACAGTCACAATACACACAAAATAACATGACCAATATCCATATGTAGCATATAACACCAAATTATATCAATATATGTAGCCAATTGAATAAAAAAAAATACAACCTTGAGATATTGATATAATAATTTAGTCTACCTAAACAACCTTCTATGCTAGCATATGTAGTTCAAGTTTCAAATTCATGCGGTCTACGCAAATCTTAAACACAATACCCATACCACTCCCACTATCAATTGTAAGTACATAAAATTTTATCCCAGTTTGAAATAGATTTAAAAAATTACTGATTTCTTTCAATCAAATTTAATCTTATAAGTGACCATAATAAAATCATAACATTAAAATTATGAATTAAAACATCTTTTGAATCATCAATCTTTCATTAAAATCACGATCATAACTTGATTACTTAAACAACATGACACACTCCCATAAAAATATAGTAACTCAAATAAAAAAATTTCACAATGTTTCAAATTCTAATCAAGTTTCAAATTATGCTCAAGTGGAGTGTGTGAGTTATCATCTCTCTTGATGTCAGGGCTCAAATCAAATCAAAATTTATTGGGGGTGTTCGGCTGCAACCAAGATTTAAGTTAAAAAGAATTTAGTAAAACTTATAAATATGAATTTATCAAATTTAGATGTTGTTAAATTTGAAATAATGTCTGGTTCAATTAAAGTTAAATCCAGTGAGATTTATTTGATGTGTTTGGAATAAAGTCGTTTGACATGTTTTCTTCCTAAGCTAAATCCGCTAAATCAACCTAACAATCGAATTTAGTAAATCCGGATTTATATCGATAAAGAGACGGAATGGAGAGAAAATTGGATTTAGCGGAGCGTAGGATTTGGCTACCCTATCTTTCCCGTTTGGCTTGATTTACATTAAATCCAATTGTAAATTCTATTAAAAGGAAGCTACCAAACACCCCCATAGAGTGTATATTAAGAATTCCAATAATATGATAATGCAATAGTAATTCTTCAAGTTTTCATATATTCAATCATAGTCTTATTGCTTTGTTTTAGCAAAAAGTTAAATTCATTAAGTAATCTATCATGATATGACAAAAGTACATATTTTTTTCCTTCACAAGTTCTTTCATCTCAACTCAAGTTATAATAGATTCCCTTCCTAATGTTTATTTATCACTCCATACTTGTCCAACAAATTTTATCCAAAGTAGTTAATTTTATTTTCGCAAATCAGACATTTCATTCATCAAACAATTGATCATTCAAAAAATTTATCTGTATCTCGCAACAAAAATTTTAGGATTAATTTTACAATCAAAGGCAGACACTTCATCTTTAAATTTTGTCCTCTTTTAAGTTTTTTTTAAATCTTTAACTTTTTGGTTATGTCATCATCCATGTCAAAATTTTGTCATTTATAATTTACATATGCATCATTGTTAAAAATCAAGAAATTTTGTATCAAGCTAATTCTCCTATCTCCTAATAGAACTAATATTCAAAATATTAGTTCATTGTGATTGAATTTAACTTTTTAGCAAAACTAACGTCATCCCATATTTAATTTTATTTGTACAATAATTCAGCCAATTGAGTTTGTAATACTTTTTAAAATTTCAGCACATTCAAGATTTATGAAGTTCAACCCGATAAAAAAAACTTTTAATTATCAAAGATCAAATCATACAATAGAAATAACAATGAACAAAATTATCCTAGTAAAAAAATCAAACTTTATATCACTAGATGGAGAAAAACTTCCCCATACTTACATTGATTGCACCCAAAAGAATTACATATTTAAATTGCACCCACAGGTTTGAGGTTATAAAAAGATAATTATTAAACCCTAAAATTTGTTTAGACTACATAAATCAGAACACCTATTTATAGAATCTAATTCCTAGTTGGTTTATAGAATTAGTAGTAGCACAAAACTCTCAATAAAATTCCAAAATCCGGTCAAAGCATGCTAACTGAATGTGATCTCAAGTACTCCACTGCAATAGCACCTCCAAACAAACAGAGCTTTTCTTATTTTTTAAATGAACCTAGATCGAGTCCAAAACATCACCTATTCTTCATACATACATACATAAATACATACATACATACATACATATATATATATATATATATATATATATAGCTCACATCCATGCCCACAACAGCCAAACTTGTGTTACATACCCATACAGTCAAACTTGTGTTTCTTTTTAACTATATTTCTTTTTTAAAAAAAAAAGAAAGAATGCCAAAGCCTACTGTCTTGTGATGAACACAATTTATTGTTTATTTGATGCATGTATACTTCACCAACTTTTGTATTGCTTGGATTTGTGCCTTCTAATATGCATTTTTAGAACGCAAATACCTTTGCTAAATGGCATCTTATAGCTGGTCTAAGAGCTTTGAGGCAACAAGTCTTACACAATTCAGTCGCCTCCAATTCTTATGATAATTACTTAATTGCATACAATTTTATAATCATCACGGCTGCGAGTCTTGGACAACATGCACAGCCACTGTTGGGGTACTAAGTGTAGTTAATTTATTTATTTTATAAAATGTTGGTTAGGAGAAGCCCACCAGAGGATTTGGCTCCTACTACCCAAAAATAAAAGTCCTTTTTTGTTTTCTTTTCTTTTATTGTACTTATGCATGGAGGGAAAAGGCAAAGCCCGGTGATAAAGAGACTGAAGGCCCATGCCATATTCATTCCTCTACGTTGAATGTAAATAAAAATCAAGTGAAATCCTATGGTCCAAAAAGGTGAGTATCACACACACACACACAGACACACATATATATAAACGTGAATGAATATATAAATATATATTAAAGTTATAAAACAGTCAAATGAAAATTACTATTTGACCTCTCGACTTACGCCAAATGAAGTGTAATGTGAATGTGAAACAAAGCCCTGCTCAAATTATATAGGTAAATATCTTTTCGTATTTTTTAATCAGCATAACTTTATCTTTTTTTTTAAAACTATAATTCAGACAATTTGTTTTTTCTAAACCACCAATGCCAGCCTTAAGCCCACATGAAAAAGGTTAAGAGTATTTTTGCAACTGTCAATTAGTAAACCCAATAAAAAACATTTATGGCTCTGCCCCTGTGCAACTAAATGACTTTAAAATAGAATATCAAAATTTTCAAATTACTATAATACGTCATAAAAATTTTATTATAATGATTTGCTACTTCTATTTTATTTAAATATAGCAGGATAAACCAAAATGGTTATTTTGAGTAGGAAGAACAATAAATGAGCATTCCAATAATTTGACTATAAACAAAAAGTTGACTACACTAAAACTAGTAAAATAATATTTGTGATTTTGAAGTTCCACGAATCATAGTAATAAGTACTCTTTCTCAGTTCTTAGGGTATGAGTTCAATCATTAAGATATAAATAAATGCAAAATAAAAAGTATTTACTAAACACAATTTACTATTCTAATCCATAGAGGACATGAAACTTCTAATAGCTCCTACCAAACCTACATCTCCATTTAAGCCATCACTAATAATCACCCTCTTCATCAGGCACATACATTACAATAGTCCATTAATTTTCCCCCAAAATTAATATTTTCAAGTTCTCTTCTAATCCAACTTGAACAGCACTGACCTTAACCACATTTATAATATAGACACTAAAAATTCTACTAATAGCACCCGCTCCATGAGAAACCATATTCACCTTAACAAACTTTATATACTAAGTTAACCAGCTTTACATACACGACTGGAGGAATCAAACCCGGAGAAAAACAGTCAAGATTTATATAAATGGAAAACAAATCTCTAATTTATGCCACAGAATAAAAAACATAATGAACCTAAATATGCATGGGCAAAGAAAGCAGAGAATAATTGGAGTACCAAATGATTAAATCTCATCTACAGAATAAAGATAAAGGACTATAGTACAAATATACAATTTAATTGCAAATAATAATACGTAATTCATTCAAGATGATCTGAAATAAAAACATAAATAGTAAAGTGAGTGGACAAGGAACCTTGTGACTTCCAGCAACCACCACAAAAGGGACAGCATGCCTTTGAGCAGCAAGGGCGACCATATTTATTCCGACAGGTGCTATCACACCACCATTTGCCATTATTGCATGAGCACCAACTATCACCTTTGAAACATAAAACAAGATAGAACTTTGAAATAATTCAAATCAACGTTGACAATGCAGAGCAATCATTAGCTTACCATGTTTACCCTAGAGATCATGGCAAAAACAGCAGAATCAGTGATAACAGTAGTTTGTAAGCCTTTTGCAACTAGCTCCTTTGCAAGAACATGTCCCAGATACCTAATTATAGACCAAAGCTGCACATTACAAGCTAAAAAAAAGAGCTATGCAAACAAATATCTCACTACACATGTAGAAGGGAATGAATAGCCAAAGCTGCAGCCCAAAATTTTAAGATGACGTCAAGAGAAACAAACAGACCTTGGTGCACCCTCTGCAATGAATACTCGAAAAGATCTTTTCTTCTCATTTGCTGCAAAAAGAAACTCTTTGACTGTTCTTGAACGGCCCAAGGTTAATATCACCTCGCTATGAAACAAAAGAAAATACATAAGCCAAAATTGCTCAAATCTAAATAAAGTAATGCAAATTACCTCCTGATAAGATTTAAGAAGCTATGAAAAAAATCAAAAGTGCATCAGTTCCAAACCTAAAGCAACCCAATATAATTCCTATATCCTGTATTTTTAAACCAACTAAAAATGGAAGGAAACTTATGTAACTAAGTTGTTCTCACGTCATAAACCTTGAAATAGATATAATTCTAAATCTCTGACCTCGCATAAAAAATCAATGCAAGGAAAATAACGATTAATACAAAAAACATGGAAATCAACGATAAACCCTGATGACAGGCGATAGATTTCAGGATGATGAGGTACGCAAAGTCAATGAAAGCATAATCTAAAAATAATACATAGACATGACATTGAGAATTTACTTTTGGTGAATGAGTCCCACTGCTTGTTCAGAAATTTGTTCATGACAAGTTTCAATATCTTGAATCAATTCATTGATGGCCTCAATGACATCGTGTTTCAACTTCTTGCTTCTTGAACTTCTTTCAGCTGATAAAACAAAAAAATACAATGCAAAATTTAAAAAAAAATCTATCTAAATAAAATTATAACATAATCAACTAGATTCAAATAAGCTCTGCCAAATTAAGCTTTTATAGCTAAATTATTCAAATATTATATTGTCAGAAGCAGATGATATCATCTATGAAAAAAGTAGATTCAAGCTTCTACAAAAAATGATATACATTTACTCTTTCCTTCGGAGTCGCCTCCGGATGATGAAAGATGAGGAGCTGAAGCAGACTCAGGTATGCCTTCAAGAAGAGTCTGCAACGAGGGTGCTCGAAGAGCGCTTCTTGCAGCGGCAGCTACAGCAGCAGCAGACAAAACTGGGTGTTCTTCACCGTCAAAGTTTCCATCATCATCACTGTTAGCAGACAAGGTCAATCCCTCCATTGCATTTGCTGTAGATGTTAAGTCTTCCTCCCTAATAATGTGAAGTACACGTCTCACAATGTTGCCAACAGCGAGCTCTGTCATCCACATTCATTAAAATGTCATTAAAACATTCAAAGGCAGTACCAGCCCTGTCAACAGACACTTATCACCCAAGCTACAGCTTATACAAGATCAGAGTCATGAAATGTGTCATTCAGTGAATATAACCTTCTCGACTCTGTACTTTCAGAGAAGCTTTTAACTTCTTGTCTTTTAACTTCTTGTCTTAAACCTATTACACTATATCTTCTAATTGAATGTTAACAATTAATATCATATACAATAAAATTGCAAAAACTATTTTCTAAAAGAAACACACCACATTAACTTATAATTGGTGTTATGTTTGCATGGATAAAACACTTCTTCAGCTCCCTTATATTGAACCCACGGTTAGGCTAAAAACATAAAATAACCTACCTACAGGGTTTGCAGCAATCAGCTGCTCTCCAACGGTCCTTACAGCATCTAATAGCACGGTTGCCTGGTTAATGTACGGCAACCGCTGATGGGATACCACACTTCGCAGCAGCTCAGCAGTCTGCCTCGCACTCTCTTGCGACCCTTCGATCTTCCTGTTGGAATTGCAGGACAATGACATAAACTTAAGAAGTGAAGAGAGAGAGAGAGAGAGAGAGTGAGAGAGAGAGAGAGAGAGAGAGATGAACCCTTACCGCCGTTTTAGTTTGAGGACGAAGTCATTGACGAGGGTTTGAACGTCTGGCATGGCGCTGGTTATGCAACTCTCGCTAAATAGCGGGCAAAACAGTAACCAGGAGACGAATTAGAATTGTTCCAAGAAAATTCTAGGGTTCTCAGTCTACGAGTAGGATGAACCTTCAGAAGATTTATTAATAAATCCAATGTATTCGGATTTTTAATAAAATCTGTGACAGCTGAATCCTGAAAAGAATCGTGATTTAGTTGCAGGTGGAGGCTGAGTTCTTACAGTGGAGATTGGGAGGGAGAACAAGAGCTGATCTGTGTGAGATTGATCCCTACGAAGCTGGTGGAACTCGCTCGATGATAGAGACCGTGACGGAAGAACGTGAAATGCTCAGCCCAAGGAGAACAATGGTCTATGAAGATTTAGGGCGAGGACAGACGAAAAAGTCCTCGTGCAGTCGAGATCGCTCGCGAGCAGGAAATAAAATTAGCGGCCCCAAACAATGATCGCGATTCGCGAACCGACGGCAAACAAAAATTTACCAAAATCCTGTGAATTGGCGAATTTAGTAAATCATTGACGGGCGAAAAGGAAGAATGGCGCGAACAAGCTTACTTCCACAGTGGTTTCTGGCAGGAGCGGAAGGATAAGAAAGATGGGAGTTTCTGTAGTCTCTGTAAACCGAGATCCGGTCGTTCTCTTCCCAGCTAGCTCTAATGGCTACTGTATCGCAAAGGTTCGTTCACGAAGGTGATAGTTTTGGGCGAAACCGGGAGAGAAGTGACATAAGCTAGGGTTTTGGACAGAGATAGGAAGAGCAGCATGGGCGAAACTCGGAGAGGTAAGTATTATATCAATACTCGACAATGTGCTGCATGTAGAAATACTAATGTAGTATTTTTCCCGTGGAGGAAAAAGAGAGAAATTTGTGATTTTAATTTATCTTTATTTAACCTAACTTTATTAAATTAATAATAATTAATTTATATATTATTAAATTATTTATAATTAAAGACATTTATATATTATATATTAATAGTTAATTAATTAATATTTTAAACTTAAATTTTGATAAAATTTGAAATAATTTTTTTCTCCAAAAAATATTTAAGTAATTTTTAATTATATAATCACTACTCGATTAATGTTAAATTATTACTTAGTAAGTAATTAATTCAAAAAAATTACTAATTTATATAACTAATTTTCATATGCCTTTTTATACACTTTGAAGTTTTAGATATTTATTTATATTTTTTTTAATTTAATATTTATATTTAGACATTTAATAAATCACAATATATCTTTATACTTTTTCCTAAAACTGTCACATAATGTTTCAGAATTTATCAGTATTTACTTGCATGCTAAATAATTTTTAGGATTTAACCACATTAGAATTTGATAAATATGAATTTATCAGGATTTACTAAATCTTATTTAAACTAAATACTGCTTACAACCAAACAACCCCGGAGGGTTTCTATAATTAGGGAAGTATACGAGGTTTTTTGATATTAGACTGTATTTAGACGGGATGGTATCTATATTAATTAAGTAAAATGTATTAGTTGAATAATTAAACTAATCTTAATAATTACTATTAATTAACTAAAATTTAATTCAATATATGTTTTTATTACTTAAAATGATTAACCATTAGTCTAATAAATTAAAAATATAAGTGTCAATTAAGGGATCAATCTAAACTTAATATCTAATATCAATTAAATTTTGTTATTATTTGAGCGAATAGATGCTATTATTTCATTAATTTATCAACTTGCTAATTAATTATTCAATGAAACATTTGATTAGATTTATCATGATTTAATTAGGAAGATTATACATACCACACTATACATCCAGATAATTAAAAACAAATAATTGAATTTAAATATTTAACCAATGTAAATTTTATAAAATTATACATAACACACAATTCTTATGTATTTACATATCAAATAATTAAATTGTATTTTAATATTTAAAATAAAATAAATCAATATAACAAAGTTTCTATGATACAAGATTTATTATATACTTGATACGCTATCAACAAATTTTCATCAACTGACACATATCTCGATGCATGACACAGATCTCAAAGCATGATGCATTTCTCGAGATAACTTTTCGAGGAAGACTTAACAGTTACCGCAGATAGCTAAGTGTAGTGAGAAAATGTAGCTTTTAACAGCAGTTTTTTAAGAAAGCGGACAAAACACAGTTTTACCAAACATAAAAAATGGCGGTGTGACACCACACCACCGCCGCAAACACACCCTTAACTTGAGATGAGATTGTAAACTCTATTTTCAAATTAGGGTGTTTACATATTTATCATCCAAAATATTGAATATAATATTTTAATCACTCAAATTTTAAATATATTAATATAAACACCAAATACTTTCACTCAAATCCTTCAATAATGGGTAAATGATGTTGGTTTTAATGAAAAATGTGGTTACACTATCATATTTTATGTTTTAAGTTGTTGGTATGTAAAACCCCTTTTAAATTTAGATCCATTCACTAGGACTCTACTCCCTATCATTTGTATTGCTATGAGATGGCGAGAATGACGACACAATAGACGCAAAGGATCACAAATAAATCAAATGAAATTAACATAATTTTAATGTTTATTTTACATGAAACCAATGGTCAATATATTTTGTTGGATCCTAATTTATCCATGAATCAATACACCTAAGAAAAAAAAGTTAGAGAAAAGAAGGGTTAGAATTAGGGAAGTGAGAGAACACTCAAAGAAATGAATACTCATTAATGTATGGGAGCAATCTCATTTCCCATAATGACCAAGTTTATTTATAGAAGAGTACATGTCAAAATATAACAAGTAATATTATTATTACACACATCCCAAACAATAGTTTTTCTATTTATATTATCTTCTATTAACTTGGCTGTTAACATTCAAAGAAAAGGGGAAGGAACTTCATGACCCATTTGACCCTGTTCTTTCAGAAACAAAAGAAACGGATGCATTCAAATTCGTGACTATCATTTGTCCAAAGGGAGAACTACTAGCTGGGACCTCGGCCCTGACTTTTTAGCAGAGGCGCCTGATTGCACGAAATGAAAGACCAGAATATCAGCAAAATCCAAGTGGGGGGAAGTGGGGGCCGGTGCCTTTTTACGGCCTCAAGGCGCTAGATAAAGGCGTTAGAAAAAAAATGTCTATTTTTTCGAGTCTGGTTCGGGCTGAAGACACTTTGATTTTGAAAGAAAAAATTGTCCTTGACCCAGAAGGAAAGTTTTCTGACACAGAGGGACTGCGCATTCTTCCAGTTGATCGGGAACCAGTATTAGATCCGGATGGATCTTCTGTGAGGTTCTTCTTAGTAGGAGTAGCAAACTAGTGTCATCTTTTCTTTCTCTCAACTCAAGAGTTTAGATGCATCAGTCGACTCTGTGGATTCTTTTTCTTCTTCCGAAGATCAATGCTTTCGTCAAATCATGTATACACGGGAAGAGAGCTCCAAAGGAACGTGAGCTGGAGATGGAAGTGGGAACGACAATCGAGAACATGACCCATAGCCAAGGTACGAATCATTGGCAGGATCGAGATGCAAATCCCGATCTAGAGAAGGAGCCCAGAGGTATACCAAACAAACAGGAGAAAGTAACCTGCTTTACTACTCGTTTCGTTGGCTCTAGTATTCACTGGCTGGCAACATGAGGATGTACAAAAGAGAACTTGACTGTTATAATACTTTTATGATAACATCATATCTTAATTAATGCTTCCTTTAAGAATGACATGTAAATGAATTGAGTCGAACTCTCCCATCATAACTGTCGCCTCCGTCTCTCACCCATCATAAAATTTTTTGTGATCTTCCCTCGATCACAACCACCATTCCTTTCTCAATCACTTTGGTCACTCGATTCTTCTTTTCTATCATATGAGATTTTTCACGTGATCCTCCTGCTTGTTGTCATCACCTTTGGCATACGATTTAAGGCGAGCGAGATCGAGGCTACAATATCAGAACCCACCAAGCTCCTTCCTTAGCAGCCACAGAACTCCTTCCCTCTTCCTCCCTTGCTCAGTAGCAACCGTCAAACCTTGCTTCGGCCAAACTTATTGCTTGTAATAAATTTCTAACTACCATGTAAGTTTGTCAATCTTGCAGTTGTATTTAATTATATTTACCATGAGCATGCCGTAGAACACTTTTATCATTCACAATGATATAGCTACCTGTATGAATCACTTTATCTTGCTTTAGTTGATTCTTATAATTTAAGTATTTATCATCTATATTCGTTACTTTTTTCAGATTTAATTTATATAATTCACACTTGACATATGATTATTTATAGTGTTTAATCATGATTAATTCATACTTGATAATGAAGAATAAGGCAACACTTTTTTTAATCAGTGTTAACAGATCATACAAAACTATTATTTGTTATTTTGACCCCCAATTATTGAACTAAGGTAAAAGAGTACTTTTGTAATGTGGTACCGCTCCCCTATCACATCTCACCTACCGCTCACCTACCTCCCACATACCACTCTTTTGCTTCTATAAATAGAGAGGGTGTGAGGCTTAGGGGAGCAAGGGAAGAGATCATAAGCTATCACAAAGGATGAGAGAATTGTTAGAGAACTAGAGAGGAGGAGAGCATCTTGAGGTCTTGTATCAAGGTGTCGCTTGAGAGGGAGGTCGTAGAAGGAAGATGGGGCTAATCTCTATGTATAAGCTATGTATTCTCCATTTCTTTTGCCTTAGTGAACTATTTGATTGATTCCCTCCTGTGGACGTAGATCCAGTTGGATCGAACCACGTAAAATATATGTGTTTGCTTGTGTTCTTTGCGTTTCATTTCTATGCGAGGAAGTACATATCTCACAATAATTGGTGCCGTCTGTGGGAAGATCCATACTTCTTGGCTAGAGGTGTTCGCGGCCAGCGACGAATAAGAGGAGTTCGACATTCACGAACAAAGGAGCAAGCGGATCGCATTGCAGCCGGCCGAATCGCGACAGATTCAGTGAGTAGTGGAAGCTTTGATCGACTGGATTAGCACCGCAGGTTGTGTGGTTCGACGAAACGGAGGAGGAACAGTCCACAAGCGAGGGCCGAAAATTTGTGACAGGATGCGACAAGGTTTTCAGCAGAGGATTTCGGAGCAAGAGTTCGGCCTTTCGAGCAGCTCGGCCAGAGGGAAGAGGTGGAGATCGCACAGAGAACGGTTCGGGGAGTTTCCTGTTCGGGAGTTCGCGAAGCATGAGGACCTGACCAGTTTGGTGAGGCACGACGGCTCTGGAGAGGCAGTTATTCTCGTGTGAGAGGCAGAGGAGGAATTCCTGATTTGTTCCACTGGATGCAAAGGAGTGCCTAAGAGAAGGAGGCGCGAGCACAGAACAGGAAGTTTTCTCCGGTGAACAGGTGTGATCTCTATCAGAAGGGATAGGAGCACTTCGTTCGATTGGCAAAGGCAGTGGAGGTCACAGGGAGAAGGTAAGAAATTTGGTGAGAATTTTTTGGACAGCAAGACGTTAAAAGACAGGTTTAAGCTAAAAAAATTTAGTCGTTATACAATAGTACAACATTTTGGTGATTTCAGCCTAGTTCTTGGAAAGGCAGCGGGTAGAATTCATTGGAACAAATCCTAGCCACGACAATGAGTTCCGCCGAATTCGACATTGAGTAATTCAACGGGAAGAACAACTTTGGCCTATGGAGAATAAAGATGAGAGGTTGAGAGGGGTGTGGCAGAAGCCTTGCAAGAGTCGGCGGCATTGCCGGCCGACATGACTGAGAAGCAGAAGATCGGCATACTGGACAAGACCCACAGTTTGATAATCCTAAGCTTGGGCGACAAAGTTCTGAGGGAGGTGTCGAGGGAGACAACGGCTCAAGCACTTTGGGTCAAACTCGAGGTATTCTACCTAACAAAGTCTCTGGCTAACAGGCTCTTTCTAAAGCAGCGCCTATACTCCTTCAAAATGCATGAAGACAAATCCGTCTCAGAGCAGATCGACGAGTTCAACAAGATCATCGACGACCTCGAGAACATCGACGTCAAGATAGACGATAAGGACAAGGCACTGCTGTTGCTAAACTTTATTCCTAAGAGCTACGAGCATTTCAAGGATGTGATGCTCTATGGAAGGGTGCATACTATTACTCTGGAGTAGGTTCAATCTCTGATTAGAGCCAAAGTACTTCAGAGGAAACATGACAGAGACAAGGAAGTCAGCGGAGACAGTCTTATTGTCAGAGGAAGATCGGACAGGAAAGATTCAAGAAATGGTCAGTACATATCAAGGTCAAGCAAGGATGGCGGGAATCAGTCATCAAGGGGATCTTTCAAGTGCTATCATTGTCACAAGGACGGTCATTTCAAGAGGAACTGCTCAGACAGGAAGAATAAGTACCAATAAGAGCCAGAAGAATCAGGAGAAGCAAGCGTAGCCTCTGATGACTACGATTCTGCTGAGGCCCTGGTGATCACCAGATCTGAATCCAGTAAGTAGTGGATCAAGGGTGTTCTTTCCACATGTGTCCTCACAAAGACTGGTTCAAGACACTGCAACAGGAAAATGATGGGTCTGTTCTATTGGGAGACAATAAAGCTCACAGGGTTGTTGAAAGTGGATCAATCAGGATAAGGATATTTGATGGAGTTGAACAAGTACTGAAAAATGTCAAGTACGTACCAGAGCTCAAAAGAAATCTGATTTCTTTAAGTACGCTGGAGTCAAGCAGATGCTCATTCAAGCCAGAGAATGGTTGCATCAGAGTAACTAAAGACCCTTGTGTCGTCATACAAGGAGTCAGGAAAAAGGGACTGTACTCTCTTATCGGAAGAACAGTGATTGTTAAGTCCATGTACTGTTTGGACTTAGCAAACTCAAGCAGAGGTTGAGGGCCCCTCAGGGGTCAAACAGAGGGAATCTTTACTTTGAAGCTTCTCAATTGAGGGTCAAGATAGAGAATTGTTATTTTGACCCTCAATTATTGAAATAAGGTAAAAGCACACTTTTGTAATGTGGTACCGCTCACCTACCGCTCACCTACCTCTCATTTACCACTCTTTTGCTTCTATAAATAGAGAGTGTATGAGGCTTAGGAGAGCAGTGAAGAGATCTTAAGCTACCACAAAAAAAGAGAGAATAGCTAGAGAGCTAGAGAGGAGGAGAGTATCTTGAGATCTTGTATCAAGATGTCGTTTAAGAGGAAGACCATAGAAGGAAGATGAGGGCTCATCTCTATGTATAAGCTATGTATTCTCCATTTCTTGTCTTAGTAAACTATTTGATTGATTCCCTCTCGTGAACGTAAATCTAGTTGAATCGAACCACGTAAACGATCTGTGTTTGCTTGTGTTCTTTGTGTTTCATTTCTATGTCAGGAAGTACATATCTCACAACATTAATATATAAATACATTTATTAACAATTACAAAATATAAAATACGATATAAAAGTTGATATAAATATAAAAAAAATGTGATATTATATTGTGTGTAAACCTACAAATTAAATCATTAAATAATTTCTAATAATTTGTTATAATAATTAAAAACTTAAAAATAAAAAAAAAACCCTCAAAATTAACTTATGTGCTTCGAATTGTGCCTTAACAAAACAAACTGAGCATCATGCCCTTCGCTTCGCTTACGAAACATGCTTCTCACACTTCTAAAAACATTACATACCAATAAACACATGAAACGCATTCAATCAATTTAACCATAAAAGAACATTTATTTTGCGGCCAATACAGCTGCATAGCAATCATTAAAAATTTTATAAATAGATGTCTGCAAATTGCTACATAAAGATTTGCAAATTGTAAGCAAGGCTACAACATAGATGTTACAATGCAAGAAAAATTATGACATAAATCTTAAAAATAAAACGGTCGTTAACACATAAGGGGCACATGGTTTAAATAATAGTTGGGACAGAAATAAGATTATAGCATAAATTTTGAAGAAGACTGTCAGACTAAATTACAACCTATGGCTAAAATCTAATTTAAAATACAGCGTTGTATGTCATGCATGTAAATTTCCCTTGGCATCGTAAATGTTTCATGGCTGAATCAAAAGCAAAATTCTGTTTTTGATTCATAAACTACTGATGCAACTATAGTTAGATTTAACTATTAAGAACTAACTTGAATGCAAAGTTGGCAGTAAAAGTTAGTAAAATTATCTCATTTCGAAACTACACTGTGAATATTAGTGAACTATTGGATGCCTGGAGCGCCGCACTTCATATTATCGATCATTGGTTTCGGTAATAATTTCAGTAGAGCAGACCACTTCAGTTTTCTCATCATCTTTCACATCCTTCACGACATGTTCTTCTACAATCTTTGCTTCGCCCTGTTCCTTATTGGGGCGCAATGATAGGTGATGAAAGCTCTCCTGAATTAAGTGGACGCCTTTCTCTACAGGCGTGATTGCTTGAGAGATGGTCAATGATACATCCTTGGCCACCTGGTTTATAGCCGAAGCAGGAGTACAAAGAAATTGATTAGTTTTTCTACTCAGAGATTAATCCATAATATTAAGTTAGTGTTGTTATAACTTTTAAGCCATGAATGTGTGAAATTTGGGTATGTTTGACTCGGTATTCTCATTGTTTTGCCATTAGATGACAGCTATATTTCCATTTGGCTACTTCTTCTTACTGTTTTTTCAAAAATAAAAATATTTAATGTATATTCATATCATATAATTCTTCTTATGACTTGCATATCTCACAACCACAATTCATGTTCATATGCATACTAAACAATTCTCTAATATCACCATCATTATTTTTTAAAAAGTGAAATATGCATTTTCATGCATAGATTTATGACGCCAAGGCATTATAATTGTAAATATCAAACTTTGGGTGTTAGTCATGTATACATAAAAATTGTGTGGTATGTAACCCTAATTTAGTAGAATTGTTTATGGCTGAAGTTTAGTAAATTATGGGAAACATGAAACATTCAGCTCTAGACTTAATTCATATCTCTATCTCAAATATGAAGTTTAGTAGAATTGTTTATGGTTCATTGTGCAGCCAATCATCTGACCTAATTCATATCTCTATCTCAAATATGACCCCTCCATATTGCATGTCAATTATACTTTCGAGTAGCTAAAGAGGCAGAAAAAATAAAGTGAATGGATGATTAGAGGATGCCTCTGCTACATGCCATGCCAATACTGGGCCTGCAGCATATTGTGACTTATAAAAACTACATGCATGGAGAAATTTGGGTCGGGATGGGTTATAAAATCTTTGAATTTGCTTTGACATGAGTGCAATGCATCAGACAAATCCAAAGGTTCTCAAACCTAACCCTGACTAAACTTCATCATAGAGAAAAGAGGCAAACTTATCCTGTGGCTCTTTGTAGGGGGGTCACTTTAGTCCTAGAGTTTATAGAAGTGTTGATTTAGTCCCCAAACTAATACTCCCCATTGAAGACTATTTTAGCCCCCATTAAAACAATATAGGATTAATTTAACACTTTCATAAATTCTACCATAAAAATGCCCCCATGTAAATAGTTAGGGGCTATTGAAATAACCCAATAAATAATAACAACAACAATAATAATAATAATAATAATAATGAATAAAAAAAATTAAATGTGTCAATTTGAGCCAACTGCCGTCTCGACGGGTTATATTTAAGAGACAAACTTCTCCACTGATGTGGAACTTCCCACACGGACAAAGGATGAGGGATGAACCCAACCGGTCCAATTGAGGGCCGATCCAAGGTGAACCCAAGTCGAGCGGCCTGAGGTGGGATTTTGACGGGCGGGTTGCCGCCCACTCCTCTCCTCATTCATTTTCTTCTTCTCCTTCATGCAGGAGCTATTTATTTGTTGTTTTCAGGATTTAGGGTTGATGTTATTTGTAGTCTTCTTTCAGATTTCCTATGTGAAGTTGTTTTTCCCCTTTCTAGGGATGTATCCAAGGATGTGGTGGTACTCCGACTGTATCCTACTCCAAGTTGGTGTTGTATACATCCCTTTCACCTTCTTCAATTCTTATCCTCTCCTCCTCCGGGCCGCTGACTCACTGCCAACTCCTTCGGTTGTTGTTTACCCTCACCAACCGCACTCCCACGGCCTTTCCCATTGCTTCCTGTGCTTCCCCATTCACTCTCCACCCTCCTAAAAGTATCGGCGAGTCTTCCCAGCTTGCTTCCCCATCTTCTAACCTACCTCCCAATCGCCCAATAGACCTTACCGCCACCCTAACCTCCTGCCTCCCTCCTCCCATTCACCTTCCACCCTATGTCGGCCCCTGTCCTACATTCACCCTTGTTGTCTCATGCCGCTAGATCCACCAAGCCAACCTCTACCGCCTTTGTGATACATTTTCGAGGTGTTTGCTTGTGTCGTTCTGTGTTTGTTATCATTTGTTTTTCGTTGAAGAGTGAGTCATCATTGTAACTGATTTCGATTTTAATAATAATATTTATGTTTCTTTTGTGTATTGAGGCTTTGTCGGCCGTTTTAATTTTACTGTTTAGAGATAATTTTGTAGATATGAAAATCGTTTAAATATAAATATGTGATTTTGATTTTTGAAAGTAATATTTTAATTTTGAAATAGATGAGGCCAAACGAGTTTCATATTTTGGATAATTTGGATGACTGAGCGCAATACCACAAGTAATAGACTTAGCCCGAAGAATAAACATATCACTTGTAATAGACTCAACCACCTAAACTAAGAAATTTGTGACATCCATTTGATCTGCAAAACCCTTTTATGTATGGCCGGCAAATTCCCTTACCTCATATAAGGATTAAATAAGGTTTATTTTATCTGGGTTTCAAGTTCCATATAGCGGCAAGCCCCTATAGTTAATTATATCTTAAATAACTGGAAGTCATTTAAGAAATAAGAAGACTCTCACTCTCAATTAAGATCAGTGGTTTTACTTTTCAGATTTCAAAATTTAGGTTTCCAAGATTGGACACGGGAAAATCAAACGGGAATGACTCAAATATGAACAGTTATTTTAAGGAATCCAAGGGAATGAAAAATAGGAGATATCACAGATCCAGGGAAAAACCCTGGTGATTTCCCATCTATCATATTGTTTGTCTTTATGTCTTTGAAATGATATTAGTCAATATTTACACCATACCAGATGGTAACCTCAGAATCCTAAAAGTGTTAGGACTTATAATTGCACAATAGGGTTGTGCAAAAGCCTAAAGATAATATATGAGGGATTACGTTGCACTAGGCAAACCACCTCGAAATCCTATGGGTTGTTATTTAAACTAAGGAAAGTGATTAGTAAAATGAATTTGTTTTGATGTTACAGATTAATCTTGAAGTGGTTCCTCCGTATGTCCTTGTCATGTTGCCCACGGTGTTCGCTCCAAGCTCCCCTTCGTTGCACCTTCGGGTTTAATATTAGTTTTAAAGGGGTACATGTGATCATTAGGTTTTCCTACACTAAGTAATAGTGTGTAACAGAACAATAAAACATGCAGTATAAAAGAAAAGAACAGTAAAATGTACAGTAAACAAGAAGAATAATATAACATGCTGTGAAGTAAAATATTGTAATGCAAATCAAACCTGTATATCTAGGAGGTCTGCTGCTCCTTTAAGCGAACTAGTATTTACTGCATAAATAAAAGAAATATTTTCTGAAAAACTTGAGAAAATCGACAAATGACACACGACGGAAAACTCGAAGAAAATCGACAAACGACTCACGGTGGGAAAAACTCGGGAAAAATCGACAAATGACAATTCCTAGAAAATTATTAAAATCTCAGGAAGATCCCAAAAAAAAGGGACCACGAGCGCTTTCCCTAAAGATTCCAATAAAATATACGAAAAAAAAACCGAAAAGAGGGGATCCCAAACACTCAGAGTCAGGACTAGACTCAAATAATATATTTGTACTCGAGGGACGTCGAATGCTACTATCGGTCACCCGGATGTATAGAGTCCGCCACTCAACTATAAGGTTGTCCTACTAAATCTAACTTAGGAGAGTACTGTTTAGCCCGGTACTGGTAATCAACAAGTGAACAATCAAATTATAATATATTTAAAATTTATATTTTTAGCATGCATATGAGTTTCAGGCATACAAAATGAAGTTATATCAATTTTGTAATAAAATATTTTTTATAAAAACATTGTATCTGTTCTTATCAATTTTTTTAAAAAAATTACGATTGTCCACGAGTTGATTACGTCGTTGGGCGTAGGACCGCCAACAACCTAAGAAGTTGCGGGTCCCCCGCTAATTCTGTGTCGGTGAATGATACTATCATCCTACAATTTATCGGGTCCCAGGATGAGTCCTGATGTCGTAGGATGTAATATCATTCTGCTCTACCAACGACGTGTCTTTGTCATCATCGCCCTAAGCCCCAAAAATAAAACCGACCTACTTGCGACCTTGCTTGATGGTTTCATATATAGCAAAAGACCATGTATGTATATTTATGTGTCAGACATAAGCACCGAAAAACCGAACCAAAAAGCAAGGAAAAAAAAATAAAAAATGGGGGTGAAAGAGGAGGAACTGACCCCCCCAAAAGATCGAAAAGGCGAAGGGTGAATCAGCCCTCAAAACTTATGTCGGCTTTTTTTTTTTTTTGAAAATAAGATTTTAAAATTTAAATTTAGAATTTAATATATATATATATATATATATAATGTAATTTTAATTTTGTGAAAATTATATCCTTTATTTTTTGAAAAATGATGAGACCGAATAGACCTCATATATCTAATAGTTTAAACAGCTGAGCACAATACCATAAATGATATATCATCTTGAAGGATGGACGTATCACTTATTGGTAGGCTTAACTATCTAAGCTTAAAAGTTTATGACTCTATTTTGGTCTGCGAAATTTATAGCCGACAAATTCCCCTATCTAATACACAGATTATATAGGGTTTAGATTAATTTGGTTTTTAAATTCCCTATAGGAGCAAGCCCCTATAGTTAATTACATCTTAGACAACCGAAGTCACCTAAGAAAACTCTCGATAATGATCAGAGGTTTCGTCTTCAAGAATTCAACGTTCAAATTTTCACGATTGTTTATAAGAAAAATCAAATGGGATAGGTTCAAATAGGAACAGTTATTTTCGGAATCCAAAGAAGTGAAGAGTAGGAGATGTCGAAGATACTGAACGAGATTCAGTGACATCTCAAACTAACCTATGATTTGGCTTTACATTTTTTGAAAGGGAGATTATGTGATATTTCAGTACTGTAAATTATTTAGATATTCGGGATTTATATCTGTAAATCATATGCAAATAACCCGAGAAAATGTGAATATTTATGTTGTACCAAACGACGATCTCGGAAGCCTAAAAAATTTAGGACTTATATTATATGATATAAAAATCATAGAAAGTTCTAAAAGATAATGTGAGGATTTATGTTGCGTCAGGCGAACAACCTCAGCGTCCTGTTGGTATGTTATTTAAATCTATCGAAACTCGGTTGAAGTTTCTTCTGCCATCATTCGTCGTAGTCCCGATTGTTGCCCGGAGATGAATCGCCAATCGACAACGTTATGGTCTCGTCCTGAGAAGGAGGGAGGAATAAGAGAGAAAACTATGCCTCGAAAGGATTATCCTAGGAGATTGTATAAACATACTAAAAGAACTTGTATTTAAAAGTTTGAATGTATGTGAATGTTTATAATACAATATAATATAAGAAAGAAACAACTATGTAGTGACGTACTGTAACAGGAAAGGACTGGAGGAAAATTATGGAAATAAAGCAATATAAAGAAAGGAAAGACTATGCAATAATAAAAAAATGTGCAGTAAAGGAACAAAACTGAAACAACTAAGTGTACCTGATTAAGTCTGGCGATGCTACAAAATATATTACAATTGCATAATATAAAGGGGTTAGGTAAACATTTGCAGATTATAAAAGAAAAGTTAAATGATGAGCATATGAAAGTCTCAAGATGAGATACTAGATTTCAATTTGGGGATAGGCTCAGACTAGACCCCTTTTCTCTTTATCTCAATCTCACAGGCAACTGATATATCGAGGTCAACCTATCAATATCAACTAGAGGTCACCAACGAATCACCCCTATAATCAGACAGCCCTAGACTCTATTGTTTAAAGAATATGTGAACGGAGTAGCATCTGAACTCCTCAAAGTGTAGTGCACCTGTACGTGAAATGTAGTATCTGTCGTGTAAGGCGTAGTGTGTGGTTTTCGTTGTATAATATCTGAGATGCATTATGTTATGCATGGTGTAGTGTATGAATTGTATAGTGAGTATGTGAGTGTAGTATCTATTTCTTGTGCAAGTGTAATACATGTGTAAAACTCGTAGTATTTGTTCTTTCCTAAGTATAGTATCTGTGGAGTGTTAGTAGTATCTATTCTTTCCCAAGTGTAGTATATGTGGAGTGTTAGTAGTATTTATTCTTTCCCAAGTGTAGTATCTATGGAGTGTTAGTAGTATCTATTCTTTCCCAAGTGTAGTATCTGTGGAGTGTTAATAGTAGGGCTATAAACGAGCCGAGCTTGAGCGAGCTCAGGCTTGGCTCATGTTCGGCTCGTTCGAAATAGCTCGTGTTCGAAATCGACTCATGTTCAAAATCGGCTCGTGAACAGTGTGTTCGTGTTCGACTCGATTTAAATATTCGTGTTCGTGTTCGGCTCGAAATTGGCTCGTTAAATTAAAATTGAGAAGAATAGATGTAAAGTGTGAGATTCGAACCTGGATCAAATATATAAATGAAGATACTAACCACATTGCCACATGAGGTGTTATGATTTAAACTTAGACATAAAAATATATAATATATTATTATATAAATAATATATGTAATATATTGTTATATAAAAGTTATATAATTTTTTTTTTCGAGCCGAACACGAGCGAACAAACTGTTGGGCGGGTTCGGCGCCGTTTCTCTTCGAG